CACTGTTAGGTCTGGGTAAACATTTCATATCAAGCAATAAAGCAGCCAAGAAATGTTCTTAAAGCTTTTTGAAAACGTAGACGAGTATTAAGTTTCGAAATTTAAAGCGTTCTACAAGGAGTAGACTCGATTGCGAAATCGAGCCTCGTATGTCGCAGAGTGGCAAAACGAGGTATCGTGATCGTTTAAGATCGAGAGCTTTTGGGCTGGTTTACCAGAAACCTTGAGTGATCCGAGTATTTTTGTTTACAGTATTCAGCTTGCTACATATTTGTTCAAGCGTGAAGCATGCAAGTTTGTGTGCACGTACATACTACCTTTAATCAAGATTTATTTTCCGACAAATCCTGTATACTGTCGTTTGTAAAGCCTTCTCACGCATTCAAATTAAAGTCGGTGAACGAACACCGAAAAATTGAGCCGTTCCCTTAGAGAAGGAAAGGAATTGCCGCAACAAAACATGTTGATCGAAATAAATCGATCAAATGTATGAGCGGTCTGTGGAAAAACAATTCTGTTTTTGGCGGATGGCAGTGGCATTCGACATTAGCAGGTAATTTAGTGTTAACAACTGGGTTGAAAACGTAAATTAGCCACCGTCAAGGGTAAAAAAGCTGACGTTTCGAGCGTTAGCCCTTCGTCAGAGCGAAGACCAAGAGCGAAAAAAGAGCTTTGTCAGAGCGAAGAGCCAATCGCTCTGACGAAGGGCTAACGCTCGAAACGTCAGCTTTTTCACCCTTTACGGTGGCTAATTTACGTTTTCAACCCAGTTGTTAACACTAAATTACCTGCTATACTCTCCCACCGACGCAGCACCACAGTTTCTTTAGAAACTTACCCTTTTATGCACTCGACATTACTTTGATGATTGATCTGAATGGTAAGTCAGTCATCGGCCTTTTTAGCAATTATGGTTAAATAGACTGATCTACAGCGTTCTCCGTCTTGTGAAGTCGATATTAGTCCATGGTTACCAAAAACAGAATCGTTACGTCGAGCAAACTTCAATCTTGAGGCGGGATTTCCACTGTCCCGTAGTTTTCTTGTGTCAACAGACCTGGGTTTTAAATGGTTCACTGGCGTGAAATGGCAAAAAAGAGCAACTTTTCCACAGACCGCTCATACACTTGGTCGATTTCATTCTACGCTTTCAAAGATTATCCGTTTTAAAGATTCCCGCTTTTAAAAATTCCCCATTTTAAAGATTTCCGCTTTTGAAGATTCCCCGTTTTAAAGATTCGCATTCTCCATTCCCATTCCCTTATTCCCCGTTCGCTATTTTAAAGATAGCCACTAACCAACCACACAGTTGGGTGGGGTAAGTCTAAAATTATCACCACTGATCGACGTCACCACCAGCACCTTTGTTTGGAAGCCTGGCAGATCAACTTTGTCCTCGCCCCTTTAAAGCGTGATGGCGGCTTACTACCTGACGCCTATTAACACCTTGTCAGAAAAAAGGGCAGCTAATTAGTTTGCTTAGAAAAGGAGCTCTTGTTGCAGCGATTGGATCACCCCTGATGAAGGCACTAGACAGGAGTGTCGAGATGCGTCTTCTCGGTTGCCTTCATTAAATCTCTATGCCAGAGTAGCATCAAACCAAACAATTTCACGAGACTTTCAAAATGAACAACAAAGCACTTAATCTCAATGCTTCTAATCAACTGAAGCAACCTTTGACGGCGTTAGCCAAAACAAAAACTTTCGTGTGGGTCCAAAGCAAGGTCAGAAGACAAATTAAGCACGCCACTTACGGAATTTAAACCAGGCTGTCACAATTCGGAAACCCATCACAACAGCTCAAACCTAATATGACTTCGGAATTCGAAATCATACAGAGTTGGTTCAAAACAAAAACAAACGACGGTGTTGCATCAAGGTTGGAAATGGGCCTTAACTTGAGGTACACTCTAATTATAAACGAAAGGTTAAATCATTCTGAAGTGACTAACTAAATGACTAACTAATTATAAACTAACAAAATACTTCATAACAGAAGGATCCAGGAACAACAAGGCCGTTAACCAGTCTCTTTGATCCTCATTGAAATAAAATTCAAAGCTTTGATCTCAATCTGCTGTCTCTAAAAAAAAAATAAATAAATAAAAAAAAATAAGCGCCCTGTTTCGAATAAGCAACCTCCCTTGCGGTTACAAAAGTAAACGAGCGCCTCGTGCGCCAAATCGAATCCTCACGGATCATCGCGGTAAATAAATTTATTGCTGAATTCTATTTCCAAGATCTTACAAAGTGGCATGATTTTAATAAAGGAATCAACATAACCAATATCAGATGTCAGAAAACTCATAGATTTACAAATTAGCAATAATGACGTCTTGACAAGGTGTTACTTGTTATCCAAGGTTTTATTTTAGATGTTTTTGTACTTTTTGTTTACAGATTGATATTTCAGTAATTACATGTATTAATAATGTATTTTCAGCTGATGTCACAAGCATAGAACTAAAGTAAATGAAGTATTGACGTTCGAATAAATGCCCATCTTCAAGAGTTTACAAAAGGGCAGAATCATCACCCTCTATCCACAGAGGAAAACATGTCTCCAATTCAGTTATGGTTGTGGGTCTTTAAAGATTTTCATTCTCCGCAGAGCAAGCACAACTATTGGTATGTTGAAAGTACATGTACCGTTTCCTATCTATAATGTATGTTGGCACAGGACTCATATCAAATAATTCCCAATTGGTCCAGGTCTGTTTGTTCTGAAATAGTTCTTTTGTTCTGGCATTTCTACTGAGTTTGAAATATTTAATTTATTACATGACTTCTTATGCTGTGTGAGAGCCCTATCTCAACAAATTAATTTTTTCCCATTTGGATAACCTTTGCTCTAACATTTCATTTTTATGATAAAAATCCTACAATGAGAAAAAAGCTGTTTATTGTGGTCATGACTACAAAAGTACAGTCTAACCTGCTATTAGCAGACACCCTTAGGAAAAATCATTGCTTTCTGCTTAAAGGAGGTTGAAAAATATTGATAAAAAGGAATGGGTAAGGGTAAGGCAGTCAGGCCGCACCCAAGGGAAGTTAACTTTACTTGGTGAATTTTGTTTTCATTTACTTTTCATTTACTTACATACAAGATGACCAGCTGGACAGAGGACTAACTGATCTAATGTTTCTGTCCATCTACATGTAATTTCTATTCCACAGGTGGACAATATTCATTATGGCATTGATTGGAATCACCCCAACCTGATTTTCAATGGGATGGAAACAGTGTACTCCTTGATGACAATGCCCATGGAAGTTTCTGATATAGAACTACCTAGTATCATGATGGCAGAAAATGATCTTTGTGTATGCCTCGAACAGAATGGCCTTGTGGCTGAGAGTCAATGTCTGGGATTTGATATCTACCTTAATCTTGTGTTACATTTGAAGGCATTAGTTAATGTATACATGTAGAAACACTTGAGTTCTATGTCAATGTGATTTTTCTGTATTACCAAAATGGTACTGATATAAGGACTAAGTACTTTTGGTTATTGTGATGCTAATTAAAAATACAAAAAAATGTATCACAAATGAAGACAAACTATCATCTTTTTCACATATTTTTCTCCACAACACAAAGGAATACTTTGGGAAAATTTGTACAATGTTTTGTAGTTGAAAAACCAAATCTAAAAAACTTGCCATTTACTGATTCTGTCCTTAAAGTACATCTATACATGTATAACATTGATGACTGTGCATGCAAATTCAAACATTGTGGTTTTAAAAGCAACATTTTAATAGTCCTATAGAAAGGAACTGCTAATCACTGCATAACACATCACTAAATTAAGAGTACTTGTAAGTATAATACTGAAATCCCTATTGTAATTTTTAGTAAGATTACTAAGAAGACTTAACTGTTGTGAAAAAATTCAACTTTCTTATTCATAATTAACTTTCCCTGACTGCACTGATAACCACAACTAAGCAAAATTGTTTGAGGCTGGTTTTCACTTACATCAGAGTCATAAGCTAAGTCAATGTCACAGAGAAAACTCCATGAAATTGGACATTTGGGTCATTGTGATTGGTTTATTCTTATGTTTCTGCTTGCAACTCTGACATTCTAGTTTTTATGAGATCGGAAGGGACAGAGTCAAGCGGAATTAGTGTTCTGCTTCTGATTCTGTCAGTTTGATTTTCATTAGATCATGTTTCTCTATGCTCCTGATTACATACAACTCCAACTACGACTCCATCACAAGTGAAAACCAGCCTTCAGTCCCTCAGTCTGGGACTAGCAATTGTTATTTCTTTATGGAAGCTTGATTAGTTCTATGTAATGCAACAAAACAAACAAGAGATCAACTACAAATCAATACAGCCAACTTAAAGTTTTTTCAGAAAACTGCAATTCACTGGTATTTTCTTAGCTTTGAGTTACAAAGGTGCTAAATAGTAGCAAATCCTTGGCTTTCAAACTTGAAGGCAACATTCAAGCTTTGATTGAACTCATTCTAAGGGGAATGAATTGTTGGGAGCCATAATATTGCCAGGTGTACAGTTGCTTATGGCAAGGAAGCTTTCTCATCATCATCAGTAAGATATCTTAGCACAATATTGTGAAGGAGACCACAAGGTGGAATTGATTGAAAGCCAGAAATGAATTTTAGCAGACATCTGAGTTTCTCCTCACCAGCATTACATAATCCATAAAATAAATTATAGGACTGTTGTTGGGTGAACTCAGAGGGCCTTTGAACACTGGCATCAAAGAGATTCTAGAATTCATCAGGAGTGAGGGTTTGCTCAATTTTATCACAAAACAGCTTAAAGCAGATTTCTCTGTTCTTAGTGACATCTAGGAACTCCTTCTTCAGACCTTCTTAAGACCTTCAGTGAATGAGTCAATCTAAAACTTCCTGGACAAGATTATTTCACTCTCCAGTAGGTTTTGTACAAGATGTGCCTTATTCTGAACTGTTATCTTCTTGGTTATTGGCCAGTGAGAAGTATTTATCACTGACCAGAAGGACTCAGAGGAAGGATGATTGTGAAGTTTCATCAATTACAAAGAAGAAAAAAAACCCTATCAGAAATGTTCCATTGTCACTTTATATGCCATATGGATTGGGACAGGAATATTTCACTTACCCTTTGATTCTGTTTATGTCAAAACTCTATTAAGGGAATGACCATTAGGAGGGTGGGCAATTTTTTTCTGAGCTAGAAATAATTTCTTGGGGTCAGGTTGTGCAGGAATTTTTTTTACAGTAACTGCCAAACCCTCCCCTCAAAAAATAGTAGTCCATCTGTTAGCCCTGTCTCTAACAAGCTCCTTGTTTGGAAGTATGATTTTTTGAATAAACCCCCTCTCTATGAACCTGTTTCTTCCCTATACAAAGTGTACAAAATTAAGTACATTCCAATGTTCTTGTGAGCATAAATGTAACAAAATCTGTAAGTACACTAAAGTACCTGCATTGAGGAGGAAATCTGGTCCTCTTAGTTGAGAGAGTACATACAGAAGGTTTGCATCTGCTAAGTAGAAGTAGATTGCTGGATGTAAAGCACTAAAACTGGGACCACCTTGAACAATGGAGTGGCTCAATAATTCCAGCAGGCTGAAACAGTAGGCCTTTGGAACAGGATGTCCACCATGAAAACAACCATTCTGATTGTTTTCATGGTAAAGCACTTGTACTTAAATGAATTAATTCAATTCATTATTACGTACTAGATGTGGTACTGGTAGTCAGTGATGAAAAAGCTGAAAACAAGAAAGTAAAACAATAATCATTTGCAAAACAGAATTAACAGAGAAGCCTTGTATACTTTTGTATGTGTTATGGTGTATAGTCTGGTTCAAACAGGCCTTCAAAGCAACACAATTCTCTTCAAATGAGAGATTGTCTTCTCCAAAAATATGCTGACAACCAATATAAATTGGTAGAAAAGGAACAACAGTTGCTGACAAGGGCAGTTCACTTACAAGTTCCTCAAGTATAGTTCCTTTGATTTGAAATATACATGCATCGTCTATCACCTTTTCAATTAGAACAGGAAAGGTATATCTAAATATTTTCAAATTGCAATGTTTTTGAAAACGTGTGCATATATTTGTAATGTGTAAGAATGCTAGACTTTTTATGGACTCTAGGTTCTCCCACTTATGCCCACTTTTATAAACATTACATTACATAAAAATGGCATGGGCAAAGTCAAATTAAAATTTCTCTCTAAAGAACATATCAGTTTTTTGCAGCATTATTGTCTACATTGTACATTTTTACCTTTATCAAGTCCACCCAAAATTTCAGCATCAAGGTAACACTTACTTGTGTAGGCAGATGTCAAGCTTGTTGTTCAGCTCCAAACCTTATTTGACTTCCCCACACAACCAATAACGTTAGAGGTAATGAAATGCCATATAGTGGCATTGGTTAACACTGGGTTGATACCAGTAACCTTAATGTGCTGAGCTAAGCAAGGCACATTAAAAGCTACAGCTTCCCCACAGCTTCATTGAGAGGGCTTTATTCTATTATTGACAAAGGGAACCACCTGAAAAGGAAACCAAAATAATAATTATTGCAGGCCAAATTTTACAATATCAAGAAAAAAAACTGCACACACTATATATATAATATATATATATATATACATATGCATGTGTAGCTTCTAGTAACAACTGATCATAACACTATTATCAATACTTACATTTTGAACATTGAAAGCAGTAATTGATGCAAAGGAATTTGTCAATGCTTTGTTGGTGTCACTGCAAACTTCCTTTGGCAACTGAACAGATGTTGCAGTGACATGGGATGCTCCCACATAACTTGGCAGTACAACTTTTTTAATTTTTTCCTCTAGAAGGATGAAGAGCTTTGGCAACCCTACCTTCTCAAGAATCTGCATTTAATTGAAGAGACAGCATCATAAGTAAGACATAATTAAATTACAGTCATGATTTAAATGGGATTAATGCAAGATTTTGTTCTGACTTGTTATTTTTCAGTTATTTTTATTTACATAACTTCCCATCCATGCACTTATTAATTTTGCTCTCTTTCAGATGGATTAATACAATCACTAAATATCAGAGCTGAAGTGTCGGGATGTAGAACCAATGGCTTCCATCCCAATGCAACCAACTTTCTTTGTTACAGTTTATATTTGTATACTCACCATTTTGAATGCAAAAACCAGGAGGGAGTAGGACACCAAGGCCCTCTGATCTTTGACTAGCTCTTGATCATCTGCCATCTCCACCGGATGGTCCGTAAATTCGCAATAATCTCAGCCAAATGGAATGGGTGTCTTGCAGACAGCATCTATTATAATTGCCTTGAAAGTCATTCCTTGACAAACAATAATTATTATTCAATTAAGATTAATGAAAAGTACTCCTTATATAAACTCTTACAGTCTAGTATGGTAAACATGGCAAACTATCTAATGTAATGTCATCATTCACTCAGATGGCACTGCATGCATATACATAACCATGGAACTTGTAATTTTGGTCTGTGGTTTAGTTTGGTCAACAATAATTTTTCTATGAAATCACATACTGCATATTAGCCGGTGTGCAAAGAAAGTCATGTCTGATAACCCAGGGCTAGTGGATTTTGCAATCGGGCTAGTGAATTTTCATAGATTTAAATTACAGAAGTACTATAAGACAAGTGTTTTAAATTCCTAATAAAATTCATGCAGACTGAAAGTCGCTCCAACAAAGTGAAATCTGCATTAACAAGACAAAGTATCACATTACATGTCAGATGAGACATATTGAGATCCCATGCATAAAGTAAAAGCAGATATTGAAAAAAGCTTTGGAGGTAAATGTTGCCCGTGACTAATTCTTACTAATTCAGAGAAAGCTATTTGTCTAAATTTTGCTTCATAATCATTTGTGAGGAATGTAAACAAAAGGTTTTGATCCTAAACTCCAGTGAGAAATTTATTATCATGGTTTTAACGAATATTGGTCACATGTGTTCCAAACACTTCTAAACACCAATACTGTAAGTGTTTTTTGGTTAAACTATATAGACCACATTGTACTGTTTTCACTTTTCACAAAAATCTTTCAGATGAAAAGTTGCCAGAAATGAAACGAACATTTTTGTTCTTTTGAAACCTAAAACCTTTGGTTACTTGTAACAAGATGAACTGCGTTGTTGATGTTGTTTTTAAGTGTGTCCATCGAGAACTTTGGTTTCACCATTTCAATGCAGTTTTTTTCTTCTTAAAAAACATGTTCCTAAATTCTAAAATGTCTAAAATGCATGTTAATCATTCATGTGTTGTGGTGGACCTAGCAAAAATTCTAAAGTGTGGCAGCACTAAGAGCAAAGCAGCTCTTTTTTTTCTGCTTGCAAAAAAATTTTTGCAGGCTAATAAAAATGACTTTCAGCTTTCCCAAAGGGCAAGCTGTAAAACTGAATTTCTTTGCAGCCTGTTAGCACTCAATAACTCATCCATGCTGACTATAAAACAGTAATCTGAGACTTCTCCTTTGCCTGCTCATTGATAAAACTTTCCCAAGGGGACCTATGCAGTATTAAATAAAAAATAGGGCACCACATACCTTGTACAATATCTGTTTTGCCAACAACTGAAAGAGTAGCTTTTAGTGCCGTTGTTTTGGCAGACTGTGGGGCTCCAAATAAGACAAGTAGAGTATTAGCCAGCAGATTTTTTCAGCCAAAATAAAATTCTGTAGAGCTTCCCAGTCATCAATGGCTACAACATCACAAGAATAAGAACACATGCAATTATTTTGTTGCAGTTAGTATTTTAAGTACAAGTTTATGTTATGTTAAGATTCCTTGTACAAAAGGTGTACATTGCTTTTAATTATTTGACTACTCATGTGTGGTATATATATATATATATATATATATATATATATGACAGGAACTACTCATCTGTGTTACATATTATATATCACAAGTACACTACATGTGGCAACATTCATATGGATTATTTTATCATGCAAATTGTTTATGAATGCAAGATATCAGAAATTATTCAGAGTAGAGATTTTTCTGGTGGCAGTGGATGCATGGATGTAATATTGTGCAGAGAGAACAACTTATGCCTCTTTTTACTAAACATGTAACTTTGCATAGATTACACCTGTAAGTTCTGAGAAATATACCTATTATTCCGGTCAAAACACTCTCGGTATCATCAATGTGGATTGTTTTGTTAAGGACCCACACATCTGTGGCTTGCTTTACAATAACATTCCAAAAGATAAACTGGTGTATAAAAATGTCAACAGTCATAGTAACTTCTTTACATTTTATCCAATTGAAGAAATTAAGAATAAAAATCAAACTGGGTTGACTAGCTGAGGAAAGTTGCGATTCTTTTTCTAGTTTCTAAGCTGATTTCATACCTTGATAATGATCAGGAAAAGCGTCCGCACGTGGCGAGCATCAGCACCCCAAAGATTGCTACTGAATTGAATGAATGAATATCTCAATAGACAGGCTATACAAATTACTAAAACCGGTATCATTTTTCGCCGCTCCTCCCGTCTTTCTTTTCATGTAAGCCTTATACAATCCAAACAAGTATCGGGGGAGGGAAGGGTCCTTTAATTGCTGGATCCATACTGCATCGCTTTTGAATGCACTGATCACGGCTTGATTACTACTCATATCTTTGTTACTGATAGAGTACTCTTTGGTTCTACAAAACAAGAGAGAAAGAGATGGTTAGGAGAAATTCGACGAGTCGAACTCGGACAACAACGGGTCGACAAGAAGTATCGGTGTGCGGAAACCATGAAGCGCCATAACGAAACGACGAATCGGAAGTTTTGTCCACGAGCTACCTTCGTAGGCCAGGAAAGTCAGAGCGTCCATATTAAACGGGGAGTTGTTGTGTCACGGGCGACGAACCGGGAAAGAAAAATAGTTCGAAACGTGAGTGGTCAGCGGTGAAACAACTTTAATACTTCATATAGAAAAAGATCATTTGTAGTTACAGAAGACAATCGTGTTGAAGGGCCGAACTGTCACGAAGTCATACCTCGCTAATTTAAAAGTTAAGCAATTTTCCAAAAGCTTTGACTGTAACAATTTTTTAAATGCTTGGGAATGGTATCGGGAAACACATCGGTGATTCAAATATTTTTAATCAAGACCACTCGTTCAAGAGACCTTACCTTGCCTCTGCCTTTCAAATTATATTTTTTTCCTTTATTTTAGAAATGCACTAGGGATGCCACCGATGCCTTTTCAGATTCCTCCATTGTTTATTACAGCTGTAAAAAATAAATGTACATTCAACACTTGAAAAATTTCTTAACTTTTTATGTAGCGAAGTATATTGATAACATTTTGGGATTTATAACACGAATATTTACTGGAACTACAAATGATTTGTTTAAAACTATTTCACAGCTGACCACTCGTAATGCGGACTTTTTTTCTTCCCCGGCTCGTCGCCCGTGATGTAGTAACTTGTCCAAAAGGACGTCTCAATACTAACACCTCCCATAATAATACTAACTATTATACAATTCATGTATGGCTCACAATATGTCCCATTTGGCATTGTTCTTCGACGTTAACACCAAGGTACCCTTGGTTTGCCATGTTCTACCACATTAACCCCCACCTACCCTTATTTAACCATGTTTTATCATATTAACCCACATCTCCCATAAGTTAATCATGTTCTTCCACGTTTACCTACATCTACCCTGAGTTAAAAATGTTATACCACGTAACCCCCATCAACCCTTAGTTAACCTTGTTATACCAAATTAATCCCTATCTACCCTTAACCATGTTCTACCACGTTTAGCCCCATTTACCCTAAGTTAACAATGTTCTACCATATTAACCCCATCTACCCTAAGTTGACCATGTCATACCATATTAACTCCCATCTACCCCTAGTTCACCATGTTCTACCATATTAAACCCCATCGACCCTAAGTTAACCACGTTCTACTACACTTACCCCAATCTACCCTTAGTAAACCATGTTCTACCATGTTAACCCACATCTACCTGGACTGTTGGATAATTGACACAAAAAGCCGGGAAACCATCAATCGTATAATCAATAAGTTTATTTGAAGGAATTATTCGATCTGAAACATACAATTAAGCAATGTAATTATGAAACATTTGAATATTTACAACACCGATTATAAAAGTGGATAATAAACCGACAGTACAAGCTAAACTAATTGAAACTTACTTCTGTCGCCGGTTTCCCGTTAAATTGATCATTCGGTGTAACTTCTATAAAACTGGTTCGCAAACACGTGTAAGAACTGAACTGAACTGAAAGCTAATGAACTTGATATATGAAACGATTAAAAGTGTCAATTACATTGTTTGTGATCATTGTCAATCATTAATAATATTTTGCCACCGTAACACTACCCTAAGTTAACCATGTTTTACCATATTAACCCACATTTTCCCTTGGCTAAGCATATTATAACACATTGATCCCCATCTACTATTAGTTAACCATGTTCTACCACGGTTATCACCTTTATCGAAGGTAGAACATGTTCTAACACTTTCATCCACACCTAACCATGTTTTATCACGTTAACCCCTATCTATCCTGAGTTAACCAAGGTCTACCGCGTTAACCTCCATTTACCCCGAGTTAGCCACGTTTTATTACTTTGATCAACTTCTATCCTAAGTTAGGCATGGTCTACCACGGTCACACATCTATTCCAAGGTAGAAGTGAGGGGTGAACTCTTTACTATCATTCGTTATCATTGGTGTACGGACGTTCAAGTATCCTGCTAAAAACATTACTTACTGCAAAGTTTAAACATGTTGAAATGTTGTTTAATAAAAATCGTTTTATAAGGGCTGGTTCTTAAAATTTTCTGTTGAAGCTTTAGTTTCAGGCTTCTTTCTCCAATTTTTAAATTTTAAACAAGTTTAATTGGTGCGAATAGGGAATTATTAAGATTGTAATGGAAGTGAACGCACGCTATTTAACTAATCAGTGATGAATACAATATCTAAATTATCCCAATAAATCGTCTAAATCTGCTTATAAAAGCGTGGAGGGTTGATTTGTCGTATGGGAACTAGTACCTCTTACAATAGCAAATGAAACTATATATTATATATCACCTTTACAGAGACCGTAAAGTAAAATAGATAGAACTGTGCACCAATCAGGTTGGTCTAAAGCGAGACGGGCGTATCCTAAATCTCTCCATTTTTCCATGTGAGCCAACTTGGCAGCTATCTGGGAAGCTAAGCTGTTCTCGATGAACGACGAACGAACCGATGATTTAATGAAATCCCAAATAACCTAAAACTCAGGGCCGTGGCTAGCGTGAGGCAAGACGAGGCAATTGCCTCGTCTTGATTTTGGCCCAAGATTGACTTTTCTGAAGAAAAATACCATGGGAAATGCTTAAACTAGCATTTCTGAGCCTCTAAATTTCAAAATTTTCTTGGGGGCGGGGGGGAATGCCCCCAGATCCCCCCTAGCGGCTCGCACCTTCGGCGCTCGAAACTTGCCTCATCTTGTTCTGAGGTCTGGCTACAGCCCTGAAACTAATGAAACTCGTAGCAGATAATTACTTTCAAGAATTTCTAAAGTACTTGACGATAACTGAGCAATCTTACCGTGACAAGGGAGATGCAACGGACTGTTAGAGGGAGAAGACCATAGGAATAAGTCTAAAGGAATTGCATGCATGAAGTAGATATGAGTGAACGCGGTAGAACTGGTTAATTAAGGGTAGATGTGGGTAAACGTGGTGGAACATGGCTAACTTAGGGTAGATGTGGGTTAACGAGGTAGGAAACGGTTAACTTAGGGGAGATGTGAGTTAAGGGGGTGAAACATGCCTTGCTTAGGGTACAAGTGGATTAATGTGGTAGAACATGGTTATGTAAGGGAAGATGTGGATTAACGTGGTAGAACATGGTTATATAAGGTAAGATGTGCGTTAAGGTGGCAGAACATGGTTAACTTAGGGAAGACGTGAGTTACTAGGGTAAAAAATGCCTAACCTAGGGTAGAAGTTGGTTTAAAACTTGGGCCAAACTTACCCTATTTAAGCCTGTACTGGCAATAATCACGCGCGTCATTTCATTGGGTCACGGTACAATTTGAGGTAGTTGGAAACAAAGGTTTTTAAAACCACTCTTGAAAAAAAAAAGATGGGTAGAAAGTCTCGAGTGAATGGAACAATTTGTTATATAATTTGTGGAAAAATCACGCAATTTTTAACGACACCGACTTGCGAAATGTTCCTTGAGTCGTCGTTTTAAAGGTAATAATTTGCATCCACAAGTATCAGGTGTTGTGCACACTTTCCCCTCGATGAATTGTTTTTGTTTTTCCAATTAAAAGGGTATAAATTTTACACCAAAATTATGTCAAAGACCAAAGAAAAATTAAAAAAAAAAGAAGCCATTATCGTAAAAACCATCTTACATCTTTACTTGGTCCATTTATTGAAAAACAATACCGTGTTCTCGGAATGCGCGAGCCCTTATTCGCCTGACTACGGGATTTTTATGCAAAGTACAGAACGCGCAGTGCAATACTGAGGAATCACCTTAAAGTATTATGTGACAGAGAATTCCCCGGGTGGGAATACACTATGGTTTGTTCGACGCGTGGCCGTCATTTCTTTAAAGATCCACTTTAAGAAAATACACAAAGAGCCATGTTTGAGCAATTTTCAACTAGACAAGTTGCGATTTCGTTTTGGTTTGCTGATTGGTTGAGAGAGTCGCGCGAGTTTTCTGGACTAGTCATTGAGCGTAGGAAGAAAACCAACCCAATCCCTGATTATATTTCACACTCGATAGAAAAATATGAAAGTTAATATCATCTAATACCCGTTAAACCAAAACCAAAGCAACTACTGACGGCCGATCAGAACAAAGAAAATTATCACAAGGAGCCGCCACAAACAAATTGACCGAGACACGGGAAACGCCATTGACAAAGACTCGTTTGGTTTCAGTTTTCGCATCTGATTGATCAAGAGAGTGGCACGAGGGTTTTTTGGACCAATCACAGAAATTGCTCTAATTTACCGAAATTGCGGGAAGAGATTAGATGTTAAAATTGGTCACTTTTATCTGCGACTCTTCGTCCCGCATCTTAGAGAGATGAAACGCCGGTATGGATACGTACCTGGTTGATTGTTTTGGTCTGGTCGAAAAGGTTTGGTGCACGCAAAGTTTTCATTGATCGGGGTGTTGCTGCTGTTATTTTTTCTGTTTTAGACATGGAAATGCAGAAAATTAAATTTGAAAATCAAACAAAGCATATTGAATACAGGCAGCAAGATCAACATAAGATTGATAAATGCACAATAATGTATAAGCGAATTAATGGGACTTTGCCGAATTATCTAAATGAACACTTAATTTTAAATAATAAGCGGCACTCCCGCAACACTAGATATTCAAGCACTAATGCTGTTTGTCCTAAATATAAAAGAGAAACAGAAGGAGGACGCTCTTTCGCTGTTTCGGCAACAAGACTGTGGAACAGTACACCAATTGAAATTAGGAAACTAAATTCTGTAGCATGTTTTAAAAAGAACATGTTTGCCAAGATTTTTAAGGAACAACAATTTTTGCATCATTTCATAATTTAATAATTTATTTTTATCTTATAATCGAATCCTGTCATATTTTATATTCTAACTGTATATATATATATTTTAGCTTACAGTATTTTAGATTGTAAATAGTTGTGAGGGCCACAAGTTTATTAGCCTTTGGCTATTAAGTGCCACCCTCTTTAAATAAAGGCTTTACTTACTTACTTAAGATAAAAAGAATCTTATGTATGAGAAAGACACAAATGTCAACATGTCCTGATACGATCTGAATGCTTTCAAATAAAAGCCCAATTTTTTCTCAACAACACGAAATTTTTTTTTTGGACAAATAAAGTAACCATAGCATCACTATGGCCTCTTTGAAACACTCTTAAAATTGGCTTTAAGAGCCTGTTTTAAAAAAAAAAAAAAATGAGTTCAGTGACTCATAATCAGCATAAAATCATATAACCTGCTCCAAAGTCGAAAAAAAAACCCACAGTTCAAAGCCACCTTCAATTATCTAAACAATCATGTTGTTTCAGCTTACCGGTTAGAATCAAATTCCTATCAAGTTTAAAGACTCAAATGTTGGTTAAAATTTTAGTGCCTAGCAATGTTAACAATCATTGTTTAAAAATGGCGTATAGCTGTGACGGCTATACGCCATTCTAAAAAGCAATCCTTTTTCGTGCTATGGTTTGCCTCCCCTTTTCCTTCTTGTTGAAGAAATTTAGAGATTCACTATTTCTTGATAACTGGGCTTTTTGAATCCAAAAATGTCATAGTCTTTTGTGTATATATTCTGCAGTCGTGTGAATTCTTCTTGTGATATTCCCGAATAGAAAGTCTTCATCTTCGTTTCTGATCCTTGTCCTTCTGGTGCAGCTTCGACATTTGGGAATGTAACCTCTTCATCAGCTCCCATCAACATAAGAGCGAGGTCAGCATCTGCTTTGATATTATCATAGAAACCAACGAAGTCGTAATTTATATCACACGGAGCGCATAAATTATGCTGAAGATCCCAGTGTTCATCATGAAAGCTAACAGGCGTAGTAATCGCGTAATTTGCGAATTCCTTAAATGTAGGATAATGTGGAGTTAACCCCGTAGAGTTCTTCCGCATCCTCTTGATGATGTCTAGGCCGATGTTGTAATAATATCCCTTCCTAGGGGGATCAACGGGTGCAAATTTGCTCCGGTAGGCTGACAAAAATCGCTCCATAGGTTCGCGAACAAATGCAATCTTTTTGTAAGTTTTTAAAATATGAATTACTACTGTAGCGTTTGAATAATGTCTCAAAAAGCGTAACTTTCCTGAATCATGCGAAGTTTCGTGGGAGATATCTTCCGACGAGTTGAAATGTCCATCTAAAACGTGAAAAATTCGTTTCCAGTTGCTACATGCTACTTTAGGAACGAAACAGAAGAGTGTTTTGTAACGCTCGGACACGATAAGGTGATGTTTGACGACATATTGAATTGGTTTTCCTCTGCCTTGCTTGGTACAAGCAGAAGAATTCCAAGGCCGGTATCTTTCCTCTAGAAGTCTGGTCTGAAAAAAAAGGAAATTAAAAATGGTTTAATGGTTTTGTTTACTTTTTCTTCTGTCTGTTTTATCTCGCGCATGCGTTCTAATCATCGCAAGATTTCAGTGAGGTTAAGTAAAGTTTTATTTCAGTAAGGAGAAGCATTTTTCCGGAACAGTCTTTTTTTTCAGCCAAGGGTTTTTGAGTTGTTGTACTACAGTAAAACAGGTGTATGGAGTCACTTTGGATGAAAAATGAGCGCAAAACCGAATAGTTGAAAACTGGTTGCATTTGATGTGTGTGAAAATACCGAGAGACATTAATCCGAAAGTAAGCACTCCTTTAGGATTATATTGTATCAATTACAATTGATAACTTACTTCAAATTCACTATCAATTTTTTTTAAGTAATGATATTCTGTGGGAGAGCGTAATGAATTCCAAACCCAAATTGAAGTAACTTGTCAAAATGGATATGGATTTTATAGACCAGCAGGTCTGCTGCGGGTGTGTAAATGACATGTTTTGATCGAGAATGGAGTCAGACACACCCTCCTGGCAAGAATTCTGACGAGTAGAAAATTTACTGTCACTCGCTGAATTTTCAAATGATTACTTACCAGTGCCTCTCTCTTCATCTGTTTGATATTCTGGGAATCTGTTAAAAATTCGGTTGAAATTTATTAGAAATCTAGTTGTTGATAAAAGGAGTTTGCAAGATGCAACCGTTCTACTATCACCTTAATATGGATGATCGAAATTATAACGAATTATAAGCGGTGGCGTTGATTTGACGTACGAGGTTAGTTTTTGGCGACCATACCGCTGACAAGGAGCTAATACGACCCTGGGCTCGAGATTGAGTCGAACTTTACCGGAAAAGTGAACATGACTCTATTGCGGCCAGCGGTTATTGCTTACCAAAATGGTGGGAAAAATGCGGGAGGGACAAATTGTGGAAATGAAGAGCTTATTTGTCTTGCAATTGCGATGAAGGAGGATAGGAGAAGGCGACTCAAAACGCAGTTAGCATTAAATAGCCTCAATGTCAGGAGGAAACGAGTTTTGAATTTTGCTTGCCTTCTATTATTGCTCATTTCCCAACGGAACATTACCGTTCCTCGTCCAGTTTGTACTTGTCGTCGGCTAAAAAGAAATACTGGCTGTTGGGAAAATGTTTGCAACACCTCTTCAAAGGAAAGGTTCAAGAAAACCTTCAGAGTATCCCGAGAAACATTTATTTTCATCTTGAACTGCATTGAACCTTTCCCTATTCGGCAAACTGTGAACCGATAACGCTCAGCTAAGCCTGAGGCTTGCTATTTTTTTCTGTATAGACTAGGCAGAAGAGATTATCTCTATACCATGGCAATGCATGACAATGTCAGGACTAGCCATCTCCACTGTCTCCTCGATCTGCCAGGAAGTCTGTCAAGTTCTGGTGGACCATTTATCGTCAAGTCACATGCTTCAAACTGAAGAAGGGTTCAAACAAAAAATTCTTGACATGGAACAATTTTGGCAATTTCCTCGCTGTTGGACAGAAATACATGGCAACCATATTCCTATGGAATGCTCGCCTGGAGGACTTCAGGCATGCAAAGAGTACCATCATTTTCCCTTGCTTTTTTATGTTCGAATATTTGCTTTTTTATGATGAATACTGGTCTAAAATAATGAAATTAGTTGGAAAAGATATTTGGAAAATCATGCAGAGGTGAATTTTTGAGAATATTTATCATTAAACTTGTCAACAAGAGGGAACATATCAATGATGATGTAATCAAGGACTTTCAATTGATTCAAATAATTTCTTCATCGCAAGATATTCCTCCCATGAAACACCTTAAATCCATGAGAATATTTTTCATAACTTGTTAAGGCAAAATGACATAGTTCAATCTTTTTCATAAGATTTTTATCTTCAGTAGAAGTCTTCAATAAAAGACCACTTCCAGATATAACCCCAAGAACGATTGGAGTTTGTGTGACGCCACCACCACCACCACAATTTACGTTTTCAATTCAGTTGTTAACACTGAATTACCTGCTAAACTCTCCCACCGACGCAGCGCCACAGTTTCTTTAGAAACTTACTCCCTTTGTTCAAATGAAACAAGTGTTGCATTACGATCATCAGTGAATTTATTGATAGAATTCATTATAAAGCCAGATGCATTTGTTTTATTTGTTCCTCTTACTGAATAATCAAACGATCATCAGCATGCTTCTCATAATTTTGTTTTCATAATGACATTATTGTCAGAAATTGTTTGTTTAAGTCATTGCTATTATTAATGCTTTCTCTTTGACCATTAAAAATTCCCGTTATTCATCAATATGTAACATATTTTTATAATTTTCGAATAAAAAATTAATAAAATCTCCACCATCCAATTCACCTGAATCAATTGTGAGAAATATTGAATAGCCGACTAGTATGTGTGAAGCATAAAAAACATTGATATCAACCCATTAACCATTTGCATTTGTCAATATTCATTATTCTCTCTCGGATGTTAATAACACCATTTACTGTTCATTTTTCTGTTATTTTAATTGCGAAAGTTGTAGAGCTTTCCTTATAATGATCTTTGAAATGAATTTCATAAAATCCGCTTTTTTATAAGCAGTTCTTCACAAATCATATCAAAATGAGCTGTTTGAAAAGTCAGTGTTATGATCCTAATTTTTAAATTTGACGATTTGTTCACTGTTATGATTGAGTTTTTAGTAAAGTAGTATACACTTTCCAATTTGTTGTTGATTTGAGTGACGGCAGCGTCATTTTTTTTCGGTTATTGGATTCTGATCATTGACAGCGTCAACCACAGTCTTCTCTTTTGTCATTGTTACTGGAGTTTCTAAAACTCATTAATATTTCATAAGTTTGATAGCCAATAAATAATGGCTAAATTCGTCAAGTGCATGAGTTGTAAACACAGATGAAAACCACTCGTGTTTTGGATCACATATCAAAACCACGCGTGGTTTTCATCTGTCTTCTTACTGTTCGTTTTGAAACGCCTTTTTCCTATATTCTATTCTTTAGTTTGATTGTTTACACTTTAATTATTGATTATTTAAATCACGTTTTTTGGTATCCGTAATTATTACACAAGAATCGACGTTACATAAGTTAGCTCGCGTTACACGTTCGATAAATAAGTGTCCTGATTGTGTCAAGTTTAGTTGCTATTTTGCTGTGATGAGAGTACCATCGTGCTACGCTACAAAACATTATCTTTGCTATCCAAGCTATCATTTAGGAGCTTCACCAAAGTAAGTTATGTCGTTTTCTGTTTATGTTTCACATGATTTAATTGTTACTTCGCTCTATTGTTTGTTTGTTTGGTTTTTTTTAATTGGATTAATTCGTTAAGTGATTTCGCTGACCTTGTTATAAGATAGTACAAAAGATCGTACAATAGGTTTTCTTTATTATTACCTTTTAGTTCGAACCACGCTTGATTATCACATATTGCTACTGCTCCAATAAACATTGTCGGTGATTCAATACGTTGTCGATCTTGAATTTGTACGCTTGGCTGGTGTGTTCGTGCGTTCGAATTGGCTCCTAGAGCTATTGGCTATCCACATGTCAATTTTTTTGACTGTGGTATCTTTCTTCTGACCTTGTCTGGCAGCTTCACCATCATATTCTGCTCTTTTAGGATCTGTTTTTGTTTTATCATCAGTACCCCATCGACCATCACTTGAAGTTTTCAATAATTGATCATCATTTGTCAATTTGCGTTACGTTGTTTCACAAAATAATTTGTTGACGACATCATAATTGGAAACTGCTGTGTGTATATTTTTTATTCGATGGTTATTAAAGTTTACATCACCTTGAAAAGTTTCAGAGCCATCCAAAGTATTATTTGCAACAGAATTAATATATATATGTTTTCCATCAATGGCCGATGTTGGATCAGCCAAATTGATTATTTTTTTCCATTCATAGTAAGACCCCTTGATGAATCAATAGCACTAGAATCACCTTTTGAACCTTGTAGACCAGCATCACCTTTTGTACCTTGTGGATCAGCATTACCTCTTGGACCCTGTGGACCAATATCACCTTTCGGACCTTGTGTACCAGCATCACCTTTTGTACCTTGTAGATCAGCATCACCTCTTGGACCCTGTGGACCAATATCACCTTTCGGACCTTGTGTACCAGCATCACCTTTTGTACCTTGTGGATCAGCATCACCTCTTGGACCCTGTGGACCAACATCACCTTTCGGACCTTGTGTACCAGCATCACCTTTTGTACCTTGTGGATCAGCATCACCTCTTGGACCCTGTGGACCAATATCACCTTTCGGACCTTGTGTACCAACATCACCTTTTGTACCTTGTGGATCAGCATCACCTCTTGGACCCTGTGGACCAATATCACCTTTCGGACCTTGTGTACCAGCATCACCTTTTGTACCTTGTGGATCAGCATCACCTCTTGGACCCTGTGGACCAATATCACCTTTCGGACCTTGTGTACCAGCATCACCTTTTGTACCTTGTGGATCAGCATCACCTCTTGGACCCTGTGGACCAATATCACCTTTCGGACCTTGTGTACCAGCATCACCTTTTGTACCTTGTGGATCAGCATCACCTCTTGGACCCTGTGGACCAATATCACCTTTCGGACCTTGTGTACCAGCATCACCTTTTGTACCTTGTGGATCAGCATCACCTCTTGGACCCTGTGGACCAATATCACCTTTCGGACCTTGTGTACCAGCATCACCTTTTGTACCTTGTGGATCAGCATCACCTCTTGGACCCTGTCGACCAACATCACCTTTCATCACCACATCTTTTGCTCCTGTCGCACCTCTATGACCTTGAGAACCTCAATTACTTTGTGTTTTTTTTGTTCCCATTCCAGTTTGATTCTCCCAAGAACCGATTAAAGGTGGTGGACGATATAGCATCGACATATTATATGGACGATTCTGCGGACCATTTCCCTGATTTGATGATGATGGTTGTGATCGTCATAGTGATGTTCTCGGCACAGACCTTGACGGTCGTGATCTGTTCTGTATACCTTTGCCTGTGAGAGCGTTTAAAAGAAGAGGAATAAGAATTGATGCCAAAAGAGTAACAAGAAAACCACCACTTTGCTTTGTGGGATTTATCACAGGTTTGACACCATTTTGAAGAGCTGCAAGAATCTGTTCTTTCCGTTTTTTGGTCAGCATTGAAGTTCTTATGTGCAGCCAATTGATCTATTCTATTCCGAGGAAAAAGGAAACCACCTCTCTCGCTCGTATTCTGATACCAACCTTGTCCAAGAATCTTGTCCATTCCAAAATTTCCAAGGCTGATCAATGCGCCAGTGGCTAAATCAGGAAGAACTTTGGAAGCAAGACTTGTCGGCATCGGATGTTTTTTTTGGTACAAGATTCATGAGAGCACCAAACAAAGAAGCACCATTTTTCACAACATGACGAATCTGTCTTTGATATTTTGACATCAACACCAACACCAGATGCCATTGCTTTCGTTATTTTTTTTTATTTGTGTCTGTGTCAGCTTTATACGTTACACAACTTTCAATAATCATGAAACATATTCAAATTAAAAATATCTAGTAATTTAAGCTCTGAGAACCGCTCATGACCTCAACACTGATTTATTCTTCATGAAGAATAAGAGCATAAAAAACTGAAAGGATTACCAGGATTGTCAGACAGAGTGTATTTGAATTCAATTTTGGTTGATCCACTTTTGAGTTCTTCTTCTTGGTTTGTGAGATCAAAATAGGGAATTCCATACAGATCTTGAAATTTTTTGAGATCAATAGCTGACGCACTCAGATAATCATTGAATTCCTTTAGTGTATGACATCAGTCTGCGATATTTTTTGGCTTTTTCAACAGTTGGATTCATTCTATCTTGTGGATGAAACACCCTATTTGAGAGTTCAAGTTAAGCAGATGTGATTGCTTTATTCCCACCAATGGTGTATGTATTAAAGATGAACATATTTTGTGTCTGGTCATTCAATTTTGCATAATTGAGAGCCCTAGTCGTATCAAGAAATGGGCCATTGTTGTGGGTTAAATTCGACTTCACAAGTTCAAACAAAAGCCTTTTGTTGTTTGTTGCGCTGAGGAAATTGTGCCGAGACTCGGCGAAGATGAATTTCAAATCGTCGCAAAATTGTCGGCGTGTCAAATAGCGGCACTCTCACAAGCTGGGGGCAATTACAAGTGGTATCAAAGAGGATATGGTTTCATTGAGAAACTTCTTGAAGAGGCCAGGAAAGATTATCTGATGTTCCAAAAGCTCTTGGGTATTTGAAAGATGCTCTTTCTGATCCAACAATGAGTAAATCAGAAGCGAAAAAAACAGTGGCAGGATACATAAGAGAGTATGAACAGTACAAAAAGAATGTTAGAACAAAATCTTTAACCAATTGGGCACTTGAAATGGGTTATGCTGGAAGACCAAAATACAGATATCCGTTTGGGGGGAGGTTTTGATATCCATAAAGCAATCGGTAAATTTCCAAAACCAAAATCAGGTTCCACACTTCTTGGACATAAATACACTGGACCTTACAATCCACTAGACAAACAATTAAAATATGACAAAAACACTGGTCAAATACTTGAGATTTATGACAAAACCATTGGAAAATAGGTGCTATTTCAATGCAACATGATGTTGACTATTCTGCATGCAAGGATTATAAAAAATGTAAAAATGAAGCGAATCGAATAATGGTTAAAGCTCTCAATGTTATTCCTTATAATGTATGACAGTGGGGGCATTTCTTACCACAAAGAATATGATCAACACAAAACAGAAACACTCAGTTAATAAAACTGTTCTTGAAGAAAAATGTTAAACCAGAAAGACCAGTACCCAAACCGAGGATAAGACCAATTCCAACACCACGAAAAAGTGTTAAATAGATGGTGCAAGAATATGAAGACAATATCATTCCTCCACCATTTGAACTTAGAGATGGGTGAAAACCCACCCCAACACCTAGAAGAAAAAAGATGGTTGTGCCAGTTGCAGCTTCAAGGACAAAAATATAAGAGAAATTAAAGCTCTCAAAGGATACACCAAATCATTTGAAATAGGTGTGAAAAATGATACAGATCCATTGAAACAAAACATTGGAACAAGAGAAGCCATTTGATATAGACTCACACAACTGTTGGGTGAAATGAAACCTTTGAAATTTGTTGAGACTTTGAGGATCACATTCCAAAAGATAGTGTAATCAATAACACAGCTTATTATAACAGTTCGCCCAAAACAGTAATCAATGTTGCTGATCTTGAATTTCCGGTCAAGAGATTCACAAGAAAATTGCAACTTGGATATCAGAAGGCTCTGGTTGGATTATCGAATCAGTTGATGGACATTGGATAAATATTTTTCAATATAATCTTCTGAAAGGATCATCATGCATTCAACTACCTACAGAATTAAGAAATTAAACCAAAGGATTAATGTCAAAAATAATAACGATGAATATTTCCAATGGCGTCACATCAGACATATGAACCCACAAGAAAATAACCCACAGTCCATCGAAAAAACAGATGAAAATATGTTGACAATTTGGATTATTCAAACATTGAATTTCCAATATCTATGAAGCAATACGATAAAAACTGAAAATCAGAATAACGTCAACATATATGCATTTGGTTATGAAGAAAAACAAGCATTTCCAATCTACGAATCAAAAGAAAAATTTGAATATGAAGTTAATCTATCATTAATGACAGATGGTGAAAATAAGCATTATGTACTCATCAAAGACTTCAACATGTTCATGTATCACAAAACAAAACATCGACAAAGAAAACACTTTTGCATGTACTGTTTGCAACGTTTCAGCAGTGAGGAGATACTTAGCAGACACAAAACTGACTGTATCGTGATAAATGAAAAGCAAGCAATAAAAATGCCTGAAAAAGGTAATAACACATTAAAATTCAATAATTTTTACAAACAATTGCCTGTACCTTTTCTCATCCACGTAGATTTTGAAGCAATAACAGAAAAGATTTATATATGCGTACCAGACAATTAGGGATCTTACACTGAAGCATACCACAAACACATAGACTGTGGATATGGTCATAAAGTAGTTTGTTGTTATAATGATAAATACACCAGGCCAGTTCAAATATTACCTGCTGAAGCATTCAAACACACATCAGAAGTCTTCAAGGATGAGAAATTCAAACTCATGAAACAGAAAGGTGTTCATCCATGTAGTTACATGGACAGCTTTAATAAGTTTGATGAAAAGCTACAAGGAGGAAATGAATTTTACAGCATTCTTCAAAATGAGCACGTATCCAATGAGCAATACAAACATGCTCAAAATGTGTGAATACATTCAATCGCAAGACAATCAGTCAGTATCATGATTTGTATCTTAAATCAGATATTCTTCTGCTTGCTGATGTATTTGAGAATTTCAGAAATACTTGTCTGTTATATCATAAACTTGATCCATGTCATTATTTTACATTTCCTGAACTGTCTTGGGATGTTATATTGAAAAATTAATGAGTGATATGAAATTATAATTAATGACAGACGTTGATATGTTTCAATTTATTGACAAAGGAGTGAGGGGTGGTATCTCATATATTTCAAACATAATAGTCACCCCTCCAACCATTGAAACACATTGAGATAAATCTTCTTGCATATTCTTCTCACATGTTGATATTTGATTCCGCAGAGTAGAAACAGACTTCACTACTGATCTTGAAGGTTTTATAAACTTTCCCGCAAACTTTACTGCAAAACTTAAGCTTGAAACATGAGGTACTGCTTAATGACGTCGATGCGTGGGCAGAATGTCAATTACTGAGAAATAAAACGTCCTGTATTCCTCGGAATTCTTTGTTATATATCACAAGTTCTTTCTGATTGTTGTTATAGAAAAAATTCTATCTGATTTATTGAGTAAATTTTCTCCATTGAATGAGCCAAATTTGAAAGATCGGGCTCGCGCCGGCATCTGTTATACTTTCGAACCTAATTATCAGATTCGGCACATGTTAAGTTCAACGTTTGAAGATGAAACTTAAACGTTTGACAATAAAACTTCAACCTTACAACACCAGAAATACCTGGCACACTTTGTAATTACACTTGCCCTTTTGCGATTAAAAAGCTGTCGCACTTTTTAATAACAAACCATCACACTTGGCAAGCCATTTATTTCATTTTTTGGGGGGCTATTCGCACCCAAGCGAATGAGGAGCAAAACTGCGTAAATTACCTAAGGGCTGCTAAGTTAAGACGGCAACGCCAATGAAGACGTCGATTTAAAAAATAATATACATTTTCAGTTGGAATTTCGCGAATGACTGGATGTGCCTACCATTTCTTATGGCGCTGCAAGTTAACCTCAGTATAGCGTACGAGATCAGCGTTAAGTGCCAAGTGGAAACTTAAGTAATCTGCCCTCAGGGTTTCTTTTCTCGGACCACGCAAAGTTTGATGACTTCACGTTGTTAGGGACCCTTAGCAGTTAAGATGGCAACGCCAAGGAGGTCGTCGATTTAAAAATGAACATGTGTTTTTAGTTGGAATTTCGCGAATGGCTGGATGTGTTTACCATCTCTTACGGTGCCACAAGTTAACCTCAGCATAATTCCTAAGGGTCCCTAACATTTTTAGGCAACGTTAGACTGCAATTGAACAATAAACTAACCTAATGCTGTAGGTGTTTTCCAATGTAAAGCGGTACTATAAAGGTAGAAACAATTCTATTGAAAATTATTTCCTTACCGATATCCTCCTGGTTCAAATTTCTTAACAGCCGCAGCATTTTTGGCATCAACATCACTGCATAGAATGCACCAGCAATTACCAACCCCATAAAAAGGATTCTTTTTAGTCTTACGATAGCCCTAACTGGAAAACTCATTGCGTAACTCAATATTCTTGCAACCTCTCTTTGTTTCGATTGAAGGAGTCTTCACAGTTGATATTAGCGCACACTTAAGCTGACGGAGTGAAGATTCGAAAATGGTGTACGTGAGTTCGTGTATTTCGTGTCACTATCTTTGCTCCGGAAAAAGAAATGATGCAAATTAGCCGGCTGCACACTGAATGAACCAATCAGAAGGCAGGACCGCTGTACGTCCGAGACAGAGATATTTTCCACGATCACACGAGGAACCGTTGGCCTTAGCAACTTAGTAGAGTAGAATTCGATGGTTGATCCAAACTTCTCATTTAATCCATGAGTTATTTCATACTGGCAAAAAAAGGGCATTCAAAACTCTTTTCAACATGAATCCGTTACTCATCAAGTAACCTCAACAATAGAGAATTTTATTCCATTCGACCACTTCAGAATGAACCCTAGTGTTGTAAAGAAAAACAGCCCTAAGGGTATTATCGAACAATTTTTTTAAACTCTCCTGAAATGTCTCCTACCAACGTTTGTTTCGGAAAATACAATGTAAAAGATAGGTCACCCTACATATTTAAAAGATATGGTGGGCCAAACTTACCCCAATGAAGCCTGTACTGGCGCCAATCACGCGCGTCATTTCATCGGTTCAGGGTACAATTTGGGGTAGCTGGAAACAAAGGTTTTGAAGCCACACTTGAAAAATACTTGATAGGTAGAAAGCCTCGAGCGAATGGAACAATGCAATTTTAAACGACATCGACTCAAAATGTTCCTCGAGTCGTGGCTTTCGAGGTCATAATTTGCATCCTCAAGTAACGGGCTTCGAGCACGCTTTTAGATATATCTTTTTTCCCTTTCGATGAATTTTTTTAACTTGTCTAATTTAAAGGGTATAATTTGTTGACCAAAATTATGAAAAAGACCAAAGAAAAACGAAAAAAAAGGACTATTATGCTAAAGACCATCTGACCTCTTTACCTGGTCCAGTTATTGCAAACAATACAGTGTTCTCGTAATGCGCGCGCGCCTATTCCCCTTATAATAATATACATGGAAAAATTACTCAGTTCTGATTGGTTAAGATAAATGCAGTTTTCAGGTAATTCAGTGCAGAAGAGAGTCAATTCAGTGCAGAAGAGGGTTAATTCAGTGCAAAAGAGGGTTAATTCAGTGCAAAGAAAGAAACAAATGAGACATTCTGATTGGTCAATAATCAAAGAAACTCACAGATAGCCAATCAAATGCGAGCCTTGGATGTCGCAACAAAATTTGAAAATTTGAAAATTTGCGAACGAAACAATGGCTGGCGTTTTGAGTAGGCTTTCTTTTGCCACCGCAGCTGAAAAACAGCTTAAACAACAAAAACACTGAACAATTCCTTGAACTTTTTTGCACCTTAAAGATGTGAAGATATCACTGCATAATTTATTATTGTTTTGATCGTACGCGGTTGTTTTGACCGAACGCGCGGTTTCAATAAATTATTTTTGCACTTGATGTGCGCTTTGCTTATGTTTAATTATGATAAGCCGTCTCGTATTTTTCCATGTATATTATTAACACGTAATCACATGATTTTTCTCGTGCAATTTGGAATAAACAAGCACTTGTTAATTTTTTCAAAGACCACAAATTGCACTCGCCCTACGGGCTCGTGCAATTTTGTTAGTCTTTAAAAAAATTTACTCGTGCTTGTTTATTCCAAATTGCACTCGAAATCATGTGATTACCTATACTAACGTGATTTCTATGCGTAGTAAAGGACGCGCAGTGCAATACTGAAGAATCACCTCATAGTATTATGGGACAGAGAATTCCTCGGGTAGGAATGCACTATGGTTTGTTCGAGGTGTGGCCGTCATTTCTTTCAAGATCCACTTTAGGGAAATACACACTGTTATCTGGAGGAAAATATCTTAAAATACTTGACATTATAAACCAAACCCAACCAGTGCAGATATCACTCACGAGGCGAGTCAACAGCAATGATTTTTTTCTAAGGTCGAACTAAAGCCGTACTGTCTCTGTCGAGCGAATAAATGCGTCTCTGACTCTGTATTTCGCGCTACAACTTCTCCAGTTATTATCTTTTCCATTCACGGTCACCTGACAGTATGCCCCTCTATTCTCCGCCTCTTTATATTTTCTGCGGGAAATAAAATGAAAAGAAGACAATCTAGACAATTCTGAAGAGTTTTTTTTCATTTAAAGAAAGCAAAAGAATTAGTGAAATTGACATAAAGAGCCATGTTTGAGCAATTTTCCACTAAACAAGTCGCGATTTCGTTTTGGTTCGCTGATTGGTCGAGAGAGTCGCGCGAGTTTTCTGGACCATTCACTGAGCGTAGAAAAAAAAACAACCCAATCCTAAGGAGCCGCCACAAAAAAAAACTGACCGAAGCGCGGGAAACGCCATTGACCAAGACTCGTTCGGTTTCAGTTTTGCATCTGATTGGTTAAGAGAGTGGCACGAGTTTTCTTAGACCAACCACAGAAATTGCTCTAATTTACTAAATTGGGGGAAGAGATTAGATGTTAAAATTAGTCACTTCTATCTGCGACGTGATTCTTTTCCCCAAGACTGAGTGAGATGAAAGGCCGGTGTGAATACGTACCTGGTTGATTCGGGAAACACGAGCTGCGAGTGTTGTTTTGGTCTGGTCGGAAAGGTTTGGTGCACGCGAAGTTTTCATTGATCGGGGTGTTGCTGTTGTTATTTTTCCGTTTTTAGACAGAAATATAAAAAATTAAATTTGAGAATTAAACAAAGCATATTGAATACAGGCAGCAAGATAAAAAGAATCTTATGTGTGAAAAAGACAAAAATTCAAACATGTGCTGATATGATCTAAATGGTTTCAAATAAAAACCCGATTTTTTCTCAACAGGATAAATATATTATTTTTTATCAAGGACAAGTAAAGTAACCATAGCAACACTTCAGAAACAGCCTTAAATTTGGCTTTAAGTGTCTGTTTCAAAAAATGAATTTAGTGACCTCCAATCAGCATAAACCATTTATCTTGCTCTAAAGTTAAAAAAAAACGACCCACGGTTCAAAGCCACCTTCAATTATCTTAACAATCATGTTGTTTCAGCTTACTGGTTAGTATCAAATTCCTTTCAAGTTTGTAGACTCAAGTATTGGTTAAAACCTTAGTGCTCGGCATTTTCAACAAACCCTGATTATCAAACTGTGGCTTTTACTTTATTGCAGGTCAGTTTTTTTCCAAATTGGAGTTAACACATAATTCAAAATTCATATAATTGTATTACTATTCAAGTCATACCTGGAAGCTTTCACGTCATGTGGGTGAACAGATCTGCTTTCAGGTTTAGAGCCCTCTGAGGGTCTCATTAGTAATTCCTCACTACAAGACATGAGTGCCTCATCAAAACCAAAAGATTGATTCCAAAGAAGAGGGTCATCTGAAGAAGAACCATTCTTATCATGCAGATGTCATTAAGATCAAGAATCAGTTTACTGCTATAGATAAAACACCACTTTTAAAAGCTGAACCCCACTTTTAAAAATTTAAAACCTCTCAGGAAATATTTAAGGTTACCTTCTGGAACGACACTGTAGTTCTCCACCTTTGGCTCAGTTTCATGTGCCCTAATCTCTATGGGTGTGGTCACAAAAGAGGTCCTGCTTTTTGTAACTGTTCCCAATGCAGGGGTAGAAGCTGCTCCAGGGGTCTTGAATGGTGGAGGACAGTGTGATGCTTTTTCAGATTTATTCCACTCTCCTGTTGGTGTCCTTGGTTTGTTTAATACTCTCAAATTATCAGCTTTTGTTGCTGACCTTGTCTGCATTTCTGAAGACTGCCCTTTAGAGAAATTGCTTTGAACATTGTTTCCCGCAGAACCAACATAAACTTGTTCAGTGTTAACATGACTAACATCTGAAATAAAAGATAATATAATGTGAACAAGGACACAGTACATAAAAACTTTCGAAAATTACCATCAGGTTGATACTTCAGTGAATAATTAGTAGGAAAGTATTTGCAAATACACCTGCAGGAGGGAAGTTTTCCTTCATCATCTCAGATGAATTCTGGTCTTCCTTGGTTTTTCTCATAACTGTCTTCCCAGGTCTCCTCATAAGATTTACATCATACTGAATAGTACCCTAAAAAATTAAAACTTCAGCATTTCTATTGTACAAAAAGTTTCACGTTAAATTGACATCAATTAATTTAATTAGCAATTTAATGAACTCATTAAATATATAATAATTGCAAGCTATGAACCAAATTGTTTTTTTGCATATAAATGCAAAACAAAGTATATGAAGAGAGTGTGAGTAATGGAGCTTAAAATAAAGAATGTTTGATAAATATCATTCTAAGCTAACGAGTATTCAAACTGATTTTTAAAGATCACCCTCTTGCATCATTGTCTTACACTATAGTTGGATTTCTACTTCCAGGAAGGCTACTGATACTTACTGATTTTGGTTGTTTGGTAATGAATTTTAAGTAGTCCTTGTCACTAATGCAGTTGCCAAGTGATTCTCCAAAACTCCTACATGAGGAAATATTCAGGTAGAGAAATCAATGAAACTTTGGATTAACTCCCATACTTAATACAGAGCACACTTATCCATAATTAGTAATTCTGGGCAAGGTTGAGCAAAGTAAGGCCATTTGCTAGTGGTGAGCAGATCAATTGATCAGATTGACCTGTGAGAAGATGGCAATTCATGATAATTATAATTACCTACTTGTTATTTGACTGCAGAAAAAATATGGCTAGATAGTAATACATATAAGCCTTGGAGCAAGCCCTTGTCATTTGGGCTGAAGGACACTCATTTCTTCACCCACAGGAAGATTTGAGAAGAGTTAATGAGAGGTTTGCTGCAGGTCTGGATCAGTCCCAGACCCTTTACAGACCTCTTGCTGGCTCATATTACTCACCAAGCCTCATACTTTCCCACAGGCAAAGAAATGCTTTTGCTGAAATGATAAGGAAGGCCTGCTTGCAAGCTATGTGTTTATAAGCAGTTATATTTGGGTCAGATGGAGGACGCTAGGCCAATAAATGGAATAAATAGGTTTCATTGTTATACAACCATAAATCAATAAAAAGATTATTTCTTTAATCATAGAAATCAGCTTACTTGAGAGCTCTTTTCAGCCCATCTGTGACAGCTTCTTTTCTTGCTTTTTCAAGAGACAGAGCTTTGGATTTCATTCCTTCTGAGACTCCATAACCAATGTCTTCATGGTATACACCATCCTGTAAAATATCACCAAACATTTTAAATTTTCCCTATTACACGCTGAACACTGTTGCTCAAACTTATGAAGCTTATAGTTGAAGATAAAATTCTGCAACTTGTTAATAACTTTGAAACATGGATTTAAAGCATCCTCGAAAGCTTAAATTACTAATCAACAATGGCTGGCCTAAGGTTTGATCCCTTTTAAAATAAAAAGGGTACAAGAAATTTTTTTTCCTGTCTTACCCTTGCGAAAAAGTGTATTATTGATAGTGTTAAATACTCCTTTCAATGTCAAAATGTCACCACCGACTGTCGGCCGACGCGTTGACGAACGCTTCGGCCAACGTGTTGTCAGGATGGGATTTGTTACCTTACCCCGTATATTGACACTAATTATCACCTTTAATTGGACTTTCACGAAAGCACTAACTCCAACATAGTATTTGTTTGCCACCTGATCTACAAAATCTGAAAAACCAACATGCCAGTTGTGTTATTAGTGGCATGATAAAAAAGTATTTTTGTCGATCATTATTTTGTAAACGAACATTTGAAGGAACACAAGTGAATTTCACTTACCTATGTTCTGATGAGTTACTGAATGTGACCAACCATTGAAACCAAAGGTTTCATTTGCTAAATTGATGAGTTTCCATCCTTCTACATAAGCGAGCTAAGGAATAACATGCATACGTAATTACGAATCAGGAACGTTAAATATGCTTTCTCTGACATTGCTGATTTTAATTTGTTTTGTAACAAAAATACCTTTTGCCCGCCGGCCCCTGCTCTTTGGCTGATGTACTCTGGGCCAAGCTTCTGGTTTAATGCACTCTGAATCGCATCGCGCTCTTCAGATGTAAAATTTACCTAAGAATCAAGAGTTGGAGGAAATTTTACGAAATATTTTCAAAGTTAACCTGATAACTTCATAGGCCTTTTTGAGACTCACGCTTCCAAATAAGGGCCCAGGTGTTCTATTATTGTTACACATCGCGTAAATTTGCCCTCCAGTACAATTTTAACAAACAAATCAATATTCTTCCCAAGCGAAAAGTGAATTTTTTTGCATGGAGGGATAGAGGATATTTTGAAAATTGTCAACATTGACTGCTCAGCCAATCGCAACGCAGCAAAAGCAAAGTCTTGTGGGATATCTAGATACTTCTTGTCATAAACCAATAAATTGCAGATATATCATCCGGGTTATTTTATCCGAAAAATGGCGTCCAATTCGAAGAATCACTATTTGTCTGCAATCTTGTGATGAGAATTACACCTTAAGAAACTCCGCGATCTTGACATTGCAGGCAACAACGTTGTCTTGGCTGTGCATTTTACATTAAGATAAAAAACAGAGCTGGATTGCAGATAACAGTTAGCGCTTAAGTCGCTTGAAACAAAGAAAGATCAATCCCCAATGGCTGCGAAAAGAGAGGAAACTACTTCAGGTATTAAGTCTCCTTTGTTCACAGCCTAATAGGAATCCGAGGTTTGCTTTCGAATGGCAGTTATTTTATTTTTCATTTTCATTCTTGAGACATGTTGTTTTAACCCATCATTTTGACGATTGCTCAGCATATTTATTGAAGACCAACATACACATTATTGCATGGTATGCAAGCTTTACCAGTCTCAGCTTAGAATAATTTTAGAAATTACCAGATATTCATTTCACAGGTGAGCCCAAATACAGCTTCACGCTTATTTTCATCTCGAAGAGATACAAAAAGCCACAACTGAGAAGAAGAAATTTAATACCTCAAAATAACGAACATGAGATTGTGATGCTGAGACTTATTTTATCTATATTTTTATAGGTTATTATTATTTGTTTGGATTATGAGAATGAAGACAGTTTAATGGAATTGAAATTAAATCTCTTTGACACCTTTGAGCTAGTAAAAATTTGAAGCACTACACATACTTGTAGGTGTTAAAAGTGCCCGGGTCAGACTTGACGCGTTGCTGAAAGATCTCATAAAGAAAACAGAGGAAAGGTGAATTATTTTTACTAGTTCTTTTACTAGAATGCCTGCCAAGTATGGCGAAGTTAAGCAATTTGAAAGGAAGTATAGAATCAATGTCTAAGACATTACAGAATACAGCACCATTTTTAACCATCCACCAAATGAGCAGATTTGTTTGGTTTTTTATTCATTATTCCTCTTTTTTTCATCCACTGCCAAGCAAAAGGAGCCACTAGAAATATGCTCCTTCAAAAGTGGCCTTGTATTGTGTAGTTGTTCCAGATCAATAATTACAAGTTGAGAAATGAGAGTCACTTTTGCAAAGGAAAATTACAGAGATGCAAATACACATGAAGTTTGCAATATTAAGTTTGTTGTTTTAATGGTTTACAGTGGTGAGGGTGAAACAAGCTCTACAACAGGAAGGTAAAAATATCTATGTACAGTATCCTATTATGTTTGAGTATAGCCATGTAAATTAATGTTTTTTTTGTTTGTTTGTTTTTCTGTTTTTGGTGTCTGTTATTATTTTGTTTTCTGGTTGATTGAATAAATCACTGTCCACTCTCAAATATTGATTAAAATACAGGAAATGGTTTGAACCCAGGGATAAGAGTTGAGTGGATAGTCTTATGATCCATTTAAGAATATTCTTGAGAAGGACTGTTATTGGTACATTTGAACCTCAGTTATCCAGACTCATAAATCACAGGAATTGCTAATTAAACAAAAAATTGGGAAAAAGTTGTTTTTTCTTTGTTGTTTAAACAATTGTTGTTTGCTCAAATTTACATGTTGGTTTGATATACATGTATTACTCTGTGTGTGTAACTGTCAGAGAGTGCAGAATAAATTTTCTGAGTGGTACAACAGTGTAAAAATCAACAAAACTGACCAATCATGACCAACTTACACCACTTGAGTCTTATAGCCATCAACATCACAACTTGACTGGGTAATCAGAATACATATACCAAACATATAACAACTCCTTGCTTAAATCTGATGATGACTTTCACTCAGGTTGTTGACACATCAGTCACCATTACCAATGACAGTCTTGCTCAAGGCTACCCTCACTTGAACAATCTGACTTCACAATCAGTTGATCAAAATATTATTAACTAAAATTAAATTAATTTTCTTTACAGTTCTGCAGCTTTTCAAATGCCACCGCCCTCAACACCAACCAAGAGGTTTGAATGAATTGTTGTTGTTAGCAGTTGGACACAGTTACATTAATTTTATGAGTTTTTTTAGGAGCCCTAAAGACCACCTTTAAATGACCCAAGACCCTGTCATAAAATGATAATAATTATTATTTTGTTATTATTATCATCATTACCATTAATTAATATATTTCACGTTTTTAGATGTGCATATTTTTCCTCTCTGTACAACTGTTTATAGCTGAGTGATGTGTATTGCCAGTGCTGTTATTCAATTTTTTCTTTCCCTGTTTCATGTTATGCAACACTTGCTCCAATTAAAGAAGTGGTTCAGGTAAACATCTTTTTTTATATTCAGATATTTAATGGCTGCTTGGGAAGTATTGGTCTATTCACAAAGGTTTATAAAGTTCTCAGTTAGTTTCTGGCTGCAGAATGACTTCCTAATGAGTTGTTCTGTAAACATCTGAACATGTCTTCCATCTTCTGTTATAGGAAAAACACCAAGGAAAAGACGCAAAAAAGATGTGGGGTATGATGGTAAGTATAACAAAAATGGCATTTTTGTGAACCAGTGATTTAGTTGTGACAAATTCATGGCAAATTTTTTTGTATTTATAGATTATATTGCTATGATGTTACCGTAGTTTGTCATATTTTGTTGAGGGGCCTGAGATTTTAGGTAACTTTACATACAAATTATTTTCCCTCATTTCTGTTAAGTGTGATCACAAATATTTTCAATTTGTCTTCCTTTGCAGATGCAGATGGAAGTAGTCAGAACCGTATGTACTTTTTTTCAAGAAATATTGCTGTTATCATTGATTTTGTGGCATGCTTAATGGTTTTCTTTACCCAATGAATTTAATAATTTTATGATTGGCTGCCTTGAAAAATGTCTGATTCTGCTTTCTATTTGTTTGTTTTTGGTCTTGATCATGACTTTTGGTGGGGATACTTGTCACCTTAGCAAGGTAAGATTTATCTGAGTGCCTTTGCACAAAGATTTGCTTAGTACAATGCTTTACTAAATTGAAATGTGTTTCAGTGACCGTGCTACTTACAGTTTTGGATCAAATCTATCTAACGTTTCCCTTTAACCCTTATGTAACCTTCTAGGATCTTCAATGGTTTTACCGAGTTTGACAGTTATCAAATGTCAGTGTCAGTTAGATACTGGGTATTTGCAATTAAGTCATTTCATTAAATCTTCAGGGTGTTTATAGGGCAAAAGACGGTGTATAATACCTCTCCTTCAAACCAATTTCTTTGGTTAAATTTTGATGACCTGCAATGCTTTTTATTCAGAAAGCATAAATGTATTTTCTTGTTACTTCACACTGTTTTTCAGCGGCTGCTTTAAATTTTCAAAGGAGAATCCCAAATCTCTGCTCTGCTTTTGAGGTTACTGTTGTAAAACTTTGGAATGTTTTGTTCCCCCTTGGCTTTTTACCTTTGTAGCTTTGTCATGAAGCTGTTTGATCGCAGTGTGGATTTTGCCCAATTCAATGAAGACACAACCTTGTATGCCCTGGCTAGAGCCTGGATGCAGAACAAGCCTTATGGAACCAAGCCATCTGATTCTCAAGAGGGCAACCAAGATGGTGAATCTCCAACAAGCAGCCAGGAGAGTGTCATGTCTTCTTTGTCCCATAGTGTAAGTAGAAAGAAAAAAAAATGAAAAAGCACTGCTACTCTGCTTTCTCAAGTTTAAACTGCTGTGTATTCCATTACACAGATGTAAATCTCTGATTGTTTTGAATTTCTTCTTACAGAATGGTGACAGTGATCCTAAGAATGTTTACAGGTAACTAAGAAAGAAAATGCTTGTAGCTAGTCTCAGATCAGATAATGATTAAGGCAAATCCCTCACCAAACATTTATTATATTAGAAATCCATAGGGCCAAACTCAGGTATGAGGGCTTTTTGTTTTATGAGGGTGTTTGCTATGTTATATTAATCTCTTTTCTCTCTATAAAGTTTTCCAGATCCAGTGAAATCAATTGAAGACTTTAAGATGAACAGTACTCTTTCAAAAGGAACACTTTCACTAGATATTCATTATGTAAGTAGATATTTTATGTCTTAGAATTCCTAACTTGTGTAGCTGGCCTTAAACTTTTTATGGAAAAAAAGTCCAATTGCAGGCCTTAAACTTTTTTTTAAAAATAAACTCCAATTGCTCTGACAAAGGGCTAACACTTGAAACGCCAGCTTTATTACCCTTTATGGTGGCCAATCACATTTTCAACTCAGTTGTTAACACTAAATTACATCTGCTATACTCTCTCACCAATGCAGCACCACGGTTTCTCTAGAAACTTACCCCCCTTAAACTTTCTAGTTTGCTCTCTGTTACAGAGAAAGGTAAAGCTAAACCAAAACCATCTTTTATTACTTGATTTTTGCGAGTTAATTAGCAATCTTTAACCAATAATCTTCTAGGATATTGATAAAGCTCCACCAGTGAGTGATCTTAAAAGAAATCACATGGACAGGTGGAAGAAAGTCAAATCCCAGTGAGTAATAAATGTCAACTTTGTTCACAAGAAATCATCCATGGCCCCTTAGCTTCCAACTGGGTCTTGGGCCTCAGTGCAGTTTTAACCCTTTAACTCCCAAAATCTCATCAGTAATTCTCCCTACTGTCTGTCATACAGTTCTTGTGATGTTAGTTTGGAGAATTTGGTATTGGATCAAGTAATAGTCCCCTAATTAATATTTTTCTTTATTCTCATCACTTGTCTGCTTGATATTGTACTGATATTTTAAGGAGAAGTTCTGTCTTGGTCAGTCATGAGAGTTAAAGGGTTAAACTTGTCTATTCTGGGATCACTGTACATTAATCAGCTAATTTTTTATTTATTTATCTCAATGGTATATCTTGGTATGAATGATTTTTCTAAGATTTTTGGACTTGTGTTAATTTTTTTGTCTGTGATCAAGGATTTTGAAAATGTAAGCTTTAATTTCTATTTTGCTATTTCTGTTGCAGTTGGAAAGATAGCTCGTTTAAAAGACAAGCCTGCTATGCACCAAGTATAAAAAAGATACGAGAACTCTTTGAGCATCAATAGTCAAGAGAATAACAATCTTTAGATTGTCTGAATTTAATGGCTTTTTTTTTGAAGAGTTCTTTTTAATGTGCAATGTAAATGGGTATAAAAATATACAGTGCACCACTGTTAGGTTGTACATCTGTATGTATCATCTTGTATTATACATGGTCATGTAGACTGCAGTCATTCGGAACTTAAAGAACAGGAAGGTAATGTGGAAAAAGCTTTAGATTCATCAGAAATTATGAACAATAGCTGTATAGGTTACATGTAAGGCCTTGGTTTTTTCATGTCTGAGATAAGACATAATTCATAATTATGAGAAGTTTGACAGAAGGAGCATTTTAGCATCAGAGACGGGAGAATTCTCCAGGTACTACTTGGAATTTCCTAGCTAGATCCTAATCCTTTGACCCCAAAGTGTGACTAGCATCTAATTTTTCTTGTAAAATATTATGGAATCACACCGGTTAGAATAAAGGAAATGATCATAAATTCAGAACAATCTTGATTGCTAGACAAATTTTTCTTGTAAGCTCTGTGAAGAGTTACCTACACAAATCCATGCTAAAAGCTTTCAGAAACAGTAAACAAGTTAGAGCATTTTATACTGACTTGTCACTGCTCAAGGAAGTTTATGTTATGTTTTGCAAGCATTTTATTTTAATGTAAGATACTGATCTTTAAGATGCTCTGAAGTCATAATTTTGTAAACTACAACAAGCTGCCTCATAAAATGATAACCAAACCAGGAAGCATGGAATAGACTTCTTAAAACTAGTAATAGATTTAGTTTAACTGTCTTTCATCTCGCAATGCTCTATTTTCTTATAATAAAAAAAAATTTACAATAATTCGCAATAAAGTTGTTAATGAATAATATATTAAAACTAGTAATAACCATGGATTAGAAAAGTCAATTTTTACCAACATGATAGTATATACATGTGGTTGGCTGTTACATGGGCTTGAGGCCCTTGCATTAAATAAATACAACCGGTCAGCTAGTCTAAGAGGACCTCCAAACCCTTAAATTGCATGCCCCTACAGATGAAAGCTTCAAAAATAATATGTGTTCTTCAAACACAAAAGTGGATGATAAGAACACATTTAGAAAGAAATGACAAACTTTTTTTTCTTCTGAAAAGTTTCCACAAGTGCATTGTGATCATTTAGATGTGGCACATATCAACATTTTGTGTAATGATTGTATGGAAAATATTGAATTGTCCCTTTGTGTTATTACAACTTTTCAAATTAGCTATGTTGGTGATTACCATTTATACATGACAAATTTCTGTCTTTCTTCTCTGCAGTATCCTATTGCCTAATCATTCATGATCAATTTGCCACCTGTTACTAAAGAATATCCCATCCACAAGACAACTTTTGATTTAATTCATGTAAACTGTTCATGATACACAACTCATCATGTTGCTAAGCTCTAGTTTTGTACACGAAAACGTTTCCGTTTCCGCTCTAACAAAACTAAAGGTGAAGTCTTTAACAGTATGCATCGATGAGGTGCAATATGGATGATGAGACGTGTAAGGTCAAGTAAAATCTGACTTGACACCTCCGCCACCCCCAGAGGACCCTCCTCTGCCCACCCCCTGCAATGAAGGACATCTTGGTGGCAAAGGAGGGAGGACTAAGAACCTGGGGGTAACATAATTTAATATGCTAATTACTTCAGGGAGGGGATAAAATTGTTTCCTACTCGTAGTCACTGATTGTGGCAAGCTTCGTGCGGTTTGCACTCAATATTAACCCAGGACCAGTGAATAAGTGAATGATGGCTGATAAAGAGAAACGACCCATTGAGGTGTGTACCTAGCTAAAGTCATTCGTATTTTTGTACGACTTGGAGAACTGCTTATCTAAGCAGATGCGCGCCAAACGGCGAAAGACAGTTCAGCGTTCCGAATTTAATATCAAGAGTCGACCTTTTAGCGTTTGAGTTTCCATCTGTTTCAAAAAGAAAAACTCATAAATACATTTTACTTAAATTAGGAAAAGTATCTGCCGTAGTTCTTTGTCGAGTATGTCATGATGAAGATCCATGTTCTGTTATGATTTTAATATCCGCCTGTACATGTAGGTATCATGAAAGTGAAAGTACAAATTATTTACTTAATAAGCTACAAGTCATTTTCAAATCCTTCCTTTCTCTATTTCTTCTTTAATTTTCTTTTTTCAAAGGTCTTCTTTTCTTCCGCTAGCCATGAGATTCAAAGCAAAATGCTTCTTGAATTGTCTTCCAATTTAGAATATTTCTCACGTGATTAACAGAAGTCGTACGTGATAGTCGAAAGTTAGGCTTGTGGTCTTTCTATTTTATTTTGCTGAAATATCAATTAACTTTGTTTTGCTGCCGATTCAAAAAATACTCAAAATAATGCGAAAGTTCACGAAAGAATAAAAAATGCGCCAATGAAGAAACCAGAGTGAAATGAAAGCTCTTAGTCTTAGTTTGCTCTTTGAGGCAGTTCAGACTTCGAGTTAGGAAAAAAACTACAATTCCTCTGCAATCCTTTGAAAATGCTGTTGCATATGAAAATTGCCAACTTTCCCAAATCAGATGTTGTGCCACAAAACGAATGGCACATTCCAAATTTTACTTCTCACTGGTATGAAATAGCACGTCACCGCTATATTTAGAGGCTCTAGTATTTAAAACAAAAGCTTTCATTTCATTCCAGCTAACAAGCTCCTCATTCTCAGTGGTGAGGTTTGCACAATGTATACGCCTATTTTAAAATGTTGGAAATAATTAACTCTTCAATTCCTACAAGTGACCAAGACAGAATTTCCCCTTTCAACATCATTACGAAATCAAGTAGGCAAGTGATGAGAACCAAGAAAAAGTATCAATTAAGGGATTATTAGTTGATCCAATACCAAATTCTCAAAAGAAACATCAGAAGAATTGTATAGCAGACAGTAAGGAGAATTACTAATGAGATCTTGGGAGTTAAAGGTTTAATAATGATCATAATTTGCATCTATTGCACCAGACTAAAGCTTCAACACTAGATCTGACATTTATCTTACATCTGCACCACTGCAAATTACTGATGGACATTCTAGTCTCCTTGTGTACTTTTACAACAGCTGTTGTTCCTAATACGGACATTTACAGAATGCAAATAGTGCTTTTGCATGATAAAATTATTTACTGAAAATTGACTTGCAAGTCTCATTTGCACAATAATTTTCAACAATTTTTACCAATTTCTTGCTGTCTTGTTTTTGCTTGGAAAATTGGGTAATAAGCTCTGTTGGAATGTGTATGTTTCAGATCTCATTTGTTATACTTAGTGTTGTTTTTATTACTAGATCTTGAAGCCATAAACTCTGAGAATTGTATACCAGACAGTATTGAAAATTGAAGGAAAAATTTTTGGTTATTCATTTTGGAGACAACTCTTGTAATGAAGTTTAAGCCTTTGTCTCATGGTGTAGCCAATGTGGATATGGATTATGTCATTTTGACTGCATACTGCATAGATAGACTCGATAGAGTAGGAAAGCTTTGTGACAGCAGACACTGGAGACAATATTTCTTAGAAATCTTGCCTTACAGCTGTCAAATATCAGTCAATCACAGCTGGGTGTAGTGCTTCATGAGGTGATGCACATTCCATCAACCTTATTGTCTGAGGAATACCACTGTCATACAATTGAAACACTGTGATCCATGTCAGAAGTGATTACATTATCAGAAAAACGATTAATGTTCAGAAATTATAATATCTAGATCTTGCAAATAAAAGGGTTCAACCTTTCCATTTCTATTCCAGGGAGATCCAGTAGACCCTTCATCAGGGATGCCTCCTTCATATGGAACAGACAATGCTTCTCCCCCTTCTTATAATGAAGCAATGGGTAAGTGCAGCTGCATGGCTTTCTGGAAAAATAAAATTCAGCTCTTCATGCTGCAACCATTTTGGTTTCTCTGTAAGTTGAAAACAACTGCCTCTTTCTCTTGGATGGTCTGAGTTAAACATTTAAACCCTAAGAGTGACCAGCTTCTAATTTCTCTTTACAGTAATACTGGTGAATCGTTCATTTAGATCATGAGAATAAAGAAAATGATCACAACCTCAGAAGCTTTGATCTTAAAAAAATTCTCATTGTCAGTACAAAATGAAATATATAGAGAACAGTATGGAGAATATTCATACTGATGTTATGCCATGCGAGTATGAGGAATAGGAATACTGATGGTGGTAAGGGTTAGTGCTACTTCTAATTTCATTTTTTCTTTCCTCTATAAGGTCCACCACCTTCATATCAGTCCTTGTTTGGTGAAATCCAAGAAGCACGCTCCAGTTCCAGTGGAGTGCTTGAATTCTTGAAGAAACTCTTTTTGATACTTATTGGAACAAGTAAGAATTTGTGTCACTCTTTTTCAGCATAAAAGATCCTGTATAAATTTGAAAAAGTCACTGCTCCATAGAATAATAACTTACAGGGTTTTTATTAAGTCTAGTGATTCTCAGAAAGTTATATTTACTAAACCAAAGTGTGGAAAATTAGGGTGAGGTACAGAGTATTTCCTTAGCTATACCCTGAGAACAGGTCGTCATCTATGATAGCACTGCAGGATGTGTGTTCTCTGCCTGCAGGAAGATTTTAGACAAGTTGGGAAGAGGTTGGCTGGGGATCTGGTGGTAATTATCAGCACAAGACCCCTTGCAGACTTCTTGCCCTCTTGCATTGCTTTTAAAAGGCTTCATACTTTTCCCTGGGCAAAGTTACAATTGTGCTGCATGCAGTCTAAATTAGCTGTAGCTACCAACTAGTATGACCCTCTGAAAAAACGCCTAGCAATGTCATTATGCTCTGAGGGTGGAACCTACAAGGAAAGAGGATTCAAGGTTGTTCCAGGGCAGCTGGAAAAGAACTACTGAAGCAGCTACAGTAAACAGCCCAAACCAGAGCAAGATGGCTGGTAGTTTCCACAGATCTGTGGGGGCATATGGGGAGAAATCAAGTCTGTTGCTGACTAGTTGAGAGCCTCAATTTACTGTTGACAAAACTTTATCTCTACAAATTGCTATTTCAAGTAGTTTTAATTTCTTTCTTTGATATCATTCTTAGTTGGATGTACCATAATGATTGGGCTGGTCATGGCTATTCCCATTGCTATGATAGTCATAGGTAAGTGAAACCTTTACCTGTATGTCCATAATATTGGTTGATAATGTAAATTAGCCACTGTTAAGTGGTTCTAAGCTGACATTTTGAGTGTATGCCCTTTGTCATGTGTTCTGATGTATACTTCCCAGTGATGCTGGAAAACTTGTTAGAAACTTAGCCCCTCTCTGTTTTACCTCTATGTGTCTTAGAACTTTGACAGTGAAATTATCTTGGCCAAAAGGGGCGATCTCAAAGTGGATTTTGTAGAATTGATGAAAAGTTGAATACCTTTAACAGGAGCTAAATACAAAGACCAGTGCCCTGTAGAAGATAAGATTCCCATTTATCTTATTGTTGGTGGAGCTGTGGGTGTGTTCAGAAACCTCATCTCCTTGTGTCAGCGGGCCACAAAATCCAATAATGATGAAGATGAAGACGAGAAGAAGAAGCGCCCTTTCGAGGGCATCCTAGACTGTTTCCTGTTTATCTGGTTTATTTGTGGAAATGTCTGGATATATAAGAATTATAAGCCCGACTTTATTCACTCTGATAGTGAAGAATATTGTAACCAAACGTTGTATCTGTTTGCATTTTGGTTAACAACCTCCACATACATTTTAGCAGGGGTCATGTGTTGTTGTGTGTGTTGTGTTGGTGTTTGTGCTGCAATATTTAATGCTGATGAATGAAATCTCAAGTGTTAAGGGTAGATGTAAAATTTTTACCCATATGGACAGGAATGTGCCACTGAAGTCTACAAAGACATCATGTAGTCACACAAAATTGCCATTAAGGCAGTCATAATTTTTTTTATAAAGTCATAGGTGATCAATTCAAATGAACCACTGCTCACTTAACTTACAGCAATGAGTTACTCTCTAGCTAGTTCACCCAGATGTGGTTCTATGCAGTTCTCTCCAGTATTGTGCACCCATAATTCTTTTGGTTTTTCTTGTTTCCCATAATTAATCTAAGATATTAAGCTCTTGCTGCAATATACTAGTTGGCATTTCTATGCCATTGAATTGATACAAAAGGTGCCTTGAAATATGAGTCATTGAGTATTTAGGTGCAACTTCATCAGAGATCCTGTAATATTTAAGGAAGACATCATAATATGTATTTCAAAGCACTGTTTGCATTTGAATTGGTATTAAGTGATTTTACAAAATCTACTTTTCTAGACAGCTGAGCAAGGAAGCTCACCCTTATAAACAATTTTGGGTGTTGTACTCTAGTCTGAAACAACATTTCAGGGTAGCAAGCAGTCTAGCCTATTTTTCTGCAAGTCCCACTGACTTTTGGAATTAATGATTCTTAATATTAATATATTAATATTAATAGTATGTAATAATCATGGAGACTTTGTAGGTTTTGATTTCTCTAGAATAAAATTTGTATCAGGGCTATAACTTTCTACAGGATTTTCTCTTAGTTTATGAATTCTAGCAGATTTTTGTTCTGATTGCTTTCAGCCATGGGAATCAGGATCTGTGAACATAAAAATTTACATTGTGGTCATACTTCTGTAGAGTTTTGTCTTTGTTTTTACTGTCAAGGGTCCAACAGAGGAAGAGCATATGGAACTCTGTCTTTTTTTTGTGAGTCTTCTGAGTATAAACTTAAGGATAATTTTCCTTACAATATTGATACTTTTGCCATAAGAGAGGTGATGGAAAGAGAGAAAGGCATCAACCAATGACTAATTTTAAACACAAGTGTCTAATTTGAGACACTAGAGTGCAGCTTTAGTTGATAGTGTCTGTTTTTAGACACTATTGTCCAATTTTGGACAGCAGTGTCCCATTTCAGTCTTAAGTGTCTAAATGTAGACACTGGTGTCTGATATTTATAGACATTGTGGGCCAATTTCAGACACAAGTGTCTGATTTTAGGTGGAAGAGTCTGATTTTAGACACTTGTGTCTGATTTTGGACAGCAGTGTATCATTTTAGGCAGTAATGTCCAGTTTTTGACACTAATGTCCAATTCTAGACAGTAGTGTACGATTTTAGACAGCAGTGTATGATTTTAGGCAGCAGTGTCCGGTTTTAAGCAGAGGAGTCCAATGTTAGACATTAGTATAGGATTTTTAACACATGTATCAGATTTTGGACACTAGCTCCAATTTTTTATGCATATTTCAGATTTTAAACTTTAGTGTCTAATTTTGGACACCAGTGTTAGTTTTCAGGCATTATAGTCCGAATTTGGACTCTAGGTTCTAATTGTGGATACTAGGGTCTGATTTTGGAAACTAGAGTCTTGTTTTGGACGCTAGTGACAAACGAAAGGAGCATGCAACTAAAAATTGCTTTCCAGGCATTTCTTAAGGACAATTCAACAATGCTGTTGTGGAGCAGCTAGGTTGGCTTGCGGCACGCTAACATTAGATTTTTTTTTTTTTTACTTGCTGAACAAGAAGGACTTCTTGTAGTCCATATCAGTCAGATGTTAAAATAAAAATTACCTTGTAATTTCCTCACCACCCCCCTCCCCCCCCATCAATGCAGCACCACGCACCACAGTTTCTTAATAAACTTACCCCCTTTCACTATATCCATCAAAAACGTTATTCTCAGCTCAGGAAAACCACCTGAGGCGAAGAACAATTTCTAGTCCTTACCAGCTGTTGGGTGATACTAGACCCGCTTAACCATTTACCTTTGCCTTCCTCTCTATGATAATTATTAAACGCAGGCAGGCAAAATTAGGTACAAGCAAACCAGACTGTAGATGCTTGGATAACAGCTTGATTCACCTGGTAACGTACAAACGAAAGAGGCTTGAAAAAGCTTTTTCGTGGCACTCAGCTAACACTCTCTTGGATGAACACTCGAAAAAGGCCGAGTTTCCTTCTTTTTGCCTAATCGAGCTATGCCCTACCCATCGTCTTCAGACAACCCTCTCAGCTCTTCGCCCACCGCCCTTATGCTTGCCTAATCGATTCACCGCACTTCACTGGCTGTAGCCCACAGTGATCGCGCTTCGCAGACCTTTCGTACCCAAAATACAGCGTAATTAAGACGAGGAAAAACCCTCCTCAAAGATGATGCTTCTGCGATGTGCTTTGAAATAATAAAATGTAACACCCTCTTTTATTTAGTCTTAAAATTAATCGTTGACTTCGTTGCCTAACTTGTAGCTGTTATATGTAAATTATCCATCGTGACCGACAATTAATTGGTTGCTCCGCGACAGTCGGTCAAAAAATTTGTCTCCATGTCAATCTGCATTTATTTTTCTCAGAGACACGTATATGACGACCACATGTACATTTTCATTTGACGATTTGGATAATTTCGAGGCCTTTTCATCAAGACTTGTTGCAGCCTTTTCAGGTGGATATATTAATTTATTCATTGGCGATCCAACTTGCTATTGGTCAGTTTGTTCGCTGATATATTTGCCGTTAACGGTGCTGGCCTTTCTAAGAGAGCAACCAACTCGTCTACTCGACAGAAAACCGTTTTAAGTGTCTCTTTTTTGCCTCTTGGGGGTTTCCATGCCTCTTCTAAGGAAAGACTGAAACAGTTAGTGCGGCGAAGACTTGTGACTTTTCGATGAAGGACGACGAAATGGTGAAAGCGCACTGCCGTGAACAATGCAAGTGGATCCTTCTTTTAATTTGGTGATCTTAGGCTGATCGACATCTGCCGGATATTTGGTCATATTTAACGTAGAAATTATAATGGTGAGTCATTTAGGTAATTCCACGGCACGATCTAGAATTGTAAAGTAGAGTTCGCACAGAATTTCCGACAAATATTGTCTTCGAATTCTTTGTTTATCGCTGCGATCCTATAAATGGCGCGCTCTTTTGTTTATTATGTACAATATTCCTGTCTCGTTAAATTGCACTTTTACATGTAATTTTGAACCAGGATTTGCATAATTCAGCCACCGCTTAATCAAACCATTGACCGGATGGTGCTAGGTGTTTTTTTCCAAACTGAGTGCGACGAGTGTTATTTTCGTCGTTGAACGAAATACTGTAAGCGGTCGATACGGGTTCAATGGTAGAATTATGCAGTTCATAAGGATTGCGGGCGATGATGCAGAGAGGAGTAAGAAATACAAGCGCCCTCTTAAGGTACAAAAAATTGCAGCTGTTTTATTTATGTTTTGTGTGTGGCTTTCTCATAAGTGCCTCTGTGCTGGAGTCTATGAAAGAATCGGGATTATTTATTTAAAATTCCGATTCCCTTTAAGAGATGTCTCTATCAGCGTTTTCTACAGTGTGCAGAAGCCATGATCAGTTTATCCATTGAACTCTTGTTAACATTTTAACTAATCGCGGTAGTAGGAGTATTTTTCGGTGGCGTGGAAACACGCTATGAGACGACAAAAATTCGGGTCTTTAAAAGACCACTTCAGTAGGAATTGTGCACGAATAATTCAGTAAAATCTTACAACCTAGAGTTGTGGCGAGTTTGTAAGATACTCCTGTTAAATATTCTTTTTTTATAATTTGAATTTCCTGATCAAGTTAAACATCTACGCCTCTTTGCACCTGGCCTTCAGGAACTTTTTAATAAGCCTTGGGTGTGAATTATAAAAAAGCAATTCCATTTTAATTTACACTATTGTTTTGGAAGATCGAAACTGTTTACCAAAATTTGCTCAGGTGAATCCTGCAGTCCCAATAACAGTGATTTTCATTTCGTTGAACAGTAGGGTTTTTCCTTTTTTTTGCGTGTTTGACCTAAAAAGTTTTCATATATAATTTTTACGTAGATGAACATTGTAGTTTAGTCTCAGATGTCAAGGTATCATGTACACTTTGTTTTAACTTTCTGCTTGTGCAAATATTATCACTGATTCAGTATGCTTATTTCATAATCTAAAAACTTATGAGCAAACGACTGGAGTTCTTATCAACAAAAGCTCAACTGGGTTTGTTCATCAGGTTCTAGAGGTTTTTAATAAGTATTTGTTTTTATAATATTGAAATTCCAGATTGTCAGGACTCTTTGGTTGGGGATTAGGGAGCATAACTTCTTGTTGTGGGATGTTTGTAGAGATTATACATGTTGAGCTTCATCACTGAATCAACTTTGTAGCTAGCTTGCAGTCTTAAATGCATTATTGAAACAAAAATTTTATATTTACATTCCAGGGATTAGTTCTAAGACAGCAATGGTTTCTAGGGTAAAAAAAGAAAAACACAATCCATATTATTATATTTTTGGTGAAAAATAATTCACAAGGTATTTAGGCACTTGCAAGCAGGTATGACATATTTTAAAGGGATTTTACAGAATTAGTGATGACCAGATACAACAGAGCACTCAAGTTTTATAGGAGTCATTGGTGATACACCCTACAAAGGGAACAGCTAAATTGGAATTTATTAGCATATAGCATAAACATACAAATTTTTTTTTAATTTCAGAATCACTTGAAATTTCTGAACAACGTCTGATACTCTAAAGAATTTGAAAGAACTTCTCAAAAGATATTCCATCAACATTTTTCAGTTGATGGGCATAATTAGCTAGAGAGTAGTTTTGTACGCTAAAAAAAATTTATATTTAGCTTTTTCCTTTTTTTTTTCTTTGCTTTTATTCTATGACCATTTCATTGCAATGAGGTGCATGGTCAAAAAAGAAAAAGATAAGTGTGAGATTATCATGAGCCTTTTGACAGGCAGTGGGTAGGGGGTCTGTAAGATTTTTTTAGGGGCGAACCACGATTAAGTGTGTGCCTCACCAGGAGTTTTTATCTTAGCATATCAACAAACTTATATTCATGCAAGGAGAAGTACTGGCAAAGAGAGTATCTAGCACCAGAGGGTAGATTCCTCAGATTTGCATGTTTTCCCAAACCTGAGTGATGAGAAGTGTACATATGAGGGGGTCATTGTACCCCCTCATAAATAAGAGGAGTCACAGTCACCCCAGGGCATCCTTTAGCTTGGCATCCTTTAGCTTGTCATCCCTGTTCAACCAAAATGTTACAGTGAGTATGTTATTAGCACTGGACTCATAACGGGATTTTGACACATAATGACACTGTGCCTGATTCATTTTAGTCTGAAAAGAGCAGTCAAAACCACACTGAAGAAGAAGACAAAATTTGGCCTGAGGATGCAGCACCGCCCAGCTATGACTCACTGTTTGGGCAAATCAAAGAAGCTAAGGAGACTTCTGATGGTTCATTTGATTTCTGCAAACGAGTTGTACAGCTCTTTGCTGGAACAAGTAAGTTAAAAGAGCTCTCAAGAGCTGTGCATTTCAGATTTCTGAAGCTGAAGCTGAAGCCTCCAGGCACCTAGGGATTCCCTTAAGAACACTGGTATTTATAATAGTGCAGTACTCAAAGTTTTGTTTACGTAAGAAAGGTATCTGATTGAAAAGATACTTAATTTCAATTGTTGATCTTGGGAGTTTAATGTGGATCCTTATCATCAGTCCTCAAGAATTTACTGTGATCAACAAAGCCTAATCATCTGAAATCTTTACTTTTTTTGGCAAATGGTATCTTAAAGAAGCTTGAATACTTTGGGGATCCAGAAAATCCTTGAAAATGTCAAAAAGTTTTGAAGGCTCCTTTGATCTTTTTGGTGTTTTAGAGGTATATATGATTATATGTCTGTCAACTTAGCTGAAAATTGTCCATAGTTTACAATTGGCTGCACCATTGCTTTGATTTTATTGATGGCACTTCCAAATTGCCATGGTCTTGCCATGTCTTCTGAAGGTTCATATGATTACATGTTGACTTAACTGAAAATTGTCCATAATTTACAGTTGGCTGCACCATTGCCTTGAGTTTATTGATGGCACTTCCAATTGCCATGGTCATTATGGGTGAGTAACAAAACAAAAATGATTTAAATGTTTTCTGTGCATGGCTTGAGTTATGGTCAAGTGATCCCTGGAAAATGAAGTTTCCTTACAATTAAATGAAATAAATTTGAACTTTATTTGAATGTGTTTGATATGTGATCATCATAACAAAATGATTCCCAGCGATGATTATTGCAATCAAAGGAATTGTAGATAAAAGGCTGTAAAAGTTCATGCTTTGATAGGATTTGATCCTGTGCCCTCTAGATACTATGTGAGTGCTCAAAGTTGTTGTTGTTGTTGTTTTTTTTTAAGTGAACGTAGCTAGTAAGGGTAGAATATTACAAGGTGTTGTTGATTTTTTTCTTATTTGATAGGTGCTAAGTATAAGGATGATTGTCCTGTGGAACCCTTCATTCCAATTTACCTCATTGTGGGAGGATCATTTGGAATGTTGAAAACCATTATAGTCCTTTGTCAACGAGCCAGGACTCATGAAGATGACTTGGACATGGATGAAGATCAATCCATGTCCACAAAATTTATTGACGGCGTTTTAAATCTGTTCTTGTTCACATGGTTTATTGCCGGAAACATCTGGGTATACAGCAAGTACCGACCAAATCCAACTCCGCCACCAGGCGATCCACTAAACTATTGCAATCCAACACTTTATTTGTTTGCATTTTGGGTGATCACAGCCAGTTATATACTGATGGGCTCAATTTGTTTCTGTATATGTTGTCTAGGAGTGTGCGCAAGCTGTACAGCGTTCTTTGTTACTGCAAAAGAGTGAGATAGTTAAGATGTTTTGAGGACAGGTTGTTGTTATTTAAGGATCAGAGAGATAGGATAAGTTGGGAAGACAAGGAATACCATTTTCTAGTGTTTTTCTGGCATAAGAAAAAAATGTAAAGCTTCTAGTTTTGGTGAAGTAATATTTAAGGTTGACAACCACATTGTTAAGGTAAGAACTTTATTAAAGAGCAAGCGCATTAAACTTGCTAATACAGGAAAAGAAATTACTTCATATTACTACAAATTGACTGAAAATCTGGTTTAAAACTGAAAGTTATGTAGGTTTTATTTAAACAGGGTTGTCAAAAGGATTTTGAGTGACCAGACTGTGGTACAAAGTAGGTGGTACTTAACAGTTTTAATTCCATTAATAATATGCTTCCATACTGAAATTTTACTCCTCACCCTTCCATGGCTGATTTTTTTTTTAGAGTTAAGGTGGATTGCACTGGTTGCCAGCTTATTTTGACAACCCTGGTAATATTTTTGTATGCTCAATATGGTCTTAATGGGATGCACAAGGCTCCCTGTTGGTAAATACTCTTATACAAACCATTCATGCAATTAATAGATTAAGTTCAGCATAAATTGGAAGCATCTTTTGAGGGAACGCAAGTCAGTGTTGTAAACTCTTGATCATTCACCAAGCTGTTTTGTTTGATTTAGTGTAATAGTGGATTTAGAGTGGAAGTCGGTGAGTCCTTTGCCATAGCAGAAATCTAATCATCTCCCACTTCCTTCCTCCTGAAAAAATACCAAGCACACTCTCACCTAGAAAACACACTAGCATACAAAGCCTACAAAGGTTAGTGAATGGAAGTCAAAAAGCATGGGACGCAATTTTGATATGGTAGTTTATAGTTATTTGTGGTTGATGTGTGAGTAAATTTGCATTTTCCACCCATTCTCCCTCTAACATTGCATTATTTGATACTGCTTAGATGGTAGGCTTGAGTATAAGTAGTGTTTCATGGGTCTGTCTTCTCATGCCCCTTCTTCTCTAGGTTGAGAGGAAGGGCAGAGACCCCAGAGAAGAGTTTTGTTGGGGCATTTGAAGCACCGCACAAAACTAGGATTCAAAAAATAACCTTGACAACTTGCACCTGGTCATCTGAATAAGTTAATGCACTGAGTTTGAATAACAAGTTTCATACCTTGTATTTTGGTAGGATTCAGAAATTGATATGCCAGAGCAAAGTCTCTAAAGCAGTTGTTTGGTCTTGTGACACAACACCTTTCTTTTGGGGGGGGGGGAGGTGTGTTGTTATTAGGAAAAGTTATTATAAAGTATTATCGTTATGTTATGATACTATGGATTTATAACTAAATTATGTAGCCATTGTGGCTAACAGGGTTATGGTTGGGTGGTTAAAAATGGCAATAGGATGAGATACACTTAACGTTAAAATATTTTGTAATATCTTAAAGTTATTCAGAGAGTGAAAGGAAAAATTCTGTGTTTTGTTGTTGTAAACAAAGATGAGGGTTCAGTTGGTTCCCAAGTAAAGAATTGAAGAAATTTTTTTCGCTAGCCTCACGCGTGAGTGAGGTGAAAGGGATCTTGTGGTCTAATTTGCCACTCGAGCGGGAATGATGGGCTAATCTCGTTGTTTGCTTCGCGAAAAGAAAACGCATATGAAACTCACTGTGGTTTTATTTATTTAATCGTATTATAGGGGTGAGGATGTTGTATGTTCCATTGCAGCTAAAAAAATTATTGAAAACTTTAATCTTGTTCAAACAGAGTAAAGGTTATACTCTTCGCGGGAAGACAGCGGGAAAGCGCGAGTGGGCTAGGAAAGCCAATCAGATTACGCTTCATCTTTAGTCATTGGATAATTTTTTCCCAAAATATAATTCGCTTTCGATTAATCATAGTGATTAATGCTTGTGCAGTATAATGTGCTTGTGAGAAAGGAGAAACAATTCGGGAATTTCGATTTTCAAGGAGATATTCCGATCTTTTCCGTAGTTAGACGTACGATGTTGCGATGTGTCTCCGGTTTAGGGTTTCCTTTTTCCCTACTTTACAAGATCCTTGTTCTAACTTGACAATTTGGAATGCTGCATTGCGACATGACCAGTTTCTCGAGTAATGTCGTGCGCCTCTCAGCGAATTAACTAATTTTTAAAGTCAGGACCAAAGTCGTCACAATGGCCAATTTGGGCAAGGAAAAATGCGCATTACTTCAAGCGGAGGAAAGCGTGAGCGACAAAGTTTTGATTGGTTTTTAGCTTTGGATCTGATTAGTTGAGAGGATGGTGCTATGGTTTTTTTTTTTGGACCAATCATTTAGCGAGGTAAGTTACTTTCGACATTCAATTATAGTTTGCTTTATGAACTTCGGAAATCGTTGGCAAAATCATGTTGAGAGACAAACTTGAAAAAGCTAATGTACCTCAATGATATACAGACTAAATAAATAACCTGCAATTATATATAGCACAAGTCAAAAAGTTCTATTTCATAATACTGTGAATAAACTCTTGAATGAGAGTCGATTAATATCTAAATAATTCCTCACTGAAGAATGCTAGTATTGGTTTTTAAGTGTCTCTTTCTTGTTACACCTTTGTTATTTATTTATTTCTCCAAAAGACTGATTGCTTCACGCCCCCTTAAACTTAATTACCATAAAAGAAAATTTCTTGCTGTGTCGAGTACCCTGTCTAATGAAACTAACTTGCATTTGAATTTTAGGAGAGCAGCACTTAAAAAGTACAGACTGAAATTTCTCCTAATTATTCATGCAATTCCTCACAGCTTTTCATATGTTGAATAAATTGTGTCTTCTTAAAGCAAAGGAGATCAAGATGTAAAGTATTTTACATGAGAATGCGTATTTTGATAATGAATGATCATCGAAGCTTTTCCATATTTTCGCACCTGTTTTTTGGGAATTCTTCACCTATTTGACATTTCAAAATTAAGTTACCTTCAAAGAGCGACGGTTGGAAGAGAGAAATGACAGCTTGTCTTCACAAAATTGAACCCCTTCGGCTCGGCCTTTCACATTCACAGACACAGGAGCGGGGCTGGAAATTTCCGTCGAGCTTCGATCACAGACTCTTGCGTGCGTGCTGCTTTTAAAGGTGAGGGGGATTCGGATATGAGAATACTTAAATATGTACTGCAATATTGTCTACAGTTGGTCTGACTTTGTAATAATCATTTTCAGTTAAAGATCACCATAAAACAACCAAATTCCAAAACACTTGTCTCTTAAGTCTTCGCTTGCAAGTAAACCAAAGACGTACCGCTGTGCTGATTCATGAACCCACCTTTGCATTGTCTCGTATGTTCGCATATTTGACTAAAAATTCAAACACGCGATTATTAGAAACTGGTTATCTTAACTACATTTCGTTTCAGAGCATTTTATTTATTACGATATCGTTGAAAGCTTAAATTACAAAAAAATATATAGATATTTGAGCTGATAAACAATGCAAGCGTTATGTTGAATGTTGGTTTGATCTCTGAAATTTCTAAGAAAGGAATTGATTAAAAGAAATTTTCATGTGCGGTTAACAAATATAGCGTACGGCAATTAATTATTAACCATGATGAAGCTTATTTTCACAGCTAACGTAATTTTTAATGAATGATGCAAAGAGGCTGAAAGGAAGATAATACAGCTATGCAATCGGAAAATAGCCGCTCTGTTTCCTAAAGATTTATTTCGTGTGGAGATGTTGATTATTATGATGACTTCACATGTGTTCGTGTGAAATCTAAAACATATTTTCAAGCAGCTTTTTTGCGTGGGTAGTGAAACTCAAAACTGAAATAATTAGAATTCAAAGTTGGCAAGTTTTATTTATTAAATTCTCGTTTATATCTCAGAAATTCAAAATAAAAGTGTTGGTTTTGTCACTTGCAATTCAGAAGAATTTCCTCCTTTTGCTCTTGAAAAAACTTGAATTAATTTTAACCCTAAGCGTTTTTAAAGATTTTTCAACAGAAAAGAAAATTTTCATACTTGTCGTCAGGCGTTTTTTAATTGCGATGAGATTTCTGCGCGGGGAAAAAAACACCTAAATTATTACAAAGGCAGCCAACGGACCGCTAAGGAAGGAAACAAACTAAATAAATCTCAATCCACCAATCAAAATACAGAAACATTGCTTAGGCCGCGCGCGAGCGATGAAAAACAGACCATCTGTTTCGGGATTATTTTTGTTTAGTCTTACTCCGCTCTGTGATTGGTCAAGAAAACTTGCGCCACCCTTTCAACCAATCAGGTTCAATACTAAAACCAATAAAAACTTCGACACTCTTGTTTTCCCGCGCTTTACGCAGTTCGCTTGCTTCAGCCTATATGTTATTTAATTTTTTGGTTTTCGCTTTTTTTTCCTTCAGATCATGTCCTCAGTGGCTCTCGACATTATCGCTGAGACCAAAAGGCGTAGTCTAAACAGGGACATCAAACCGGACTCGCCAATTAGAGGCAAGATTGGAAAGTGTACGATTCACCACGAGTCAGAATTTAAAGCGCTCTGGGACTGGTTTGTCCTCGCTCTGGTGCTTTACATTTCAATTGAAATCCCATATGAAGCGGCATTCTTCCAGAAGGAAGCGCGAAGTAAAGGAGTATGGCAAAAAATTTCCTCGGGGGAGCCCCGTGAGGTGGTGAACCTTTTGGTCGACTTAATGTTCATCGCTGACATACTGATAAATTTCCGGACGACTTACGTGGACACAACATCCGCAGTAGTGATCAGCGCACCCAAGAGGATCGCCATTCATTATCTAAAGACTTGGTTTACGATAGATTTTGTGTCCGCCATACCATTTGATTACTTCATTCCGGACGAGTTTGAAGGGGTATGGAAACTAATTAACAAAGCGCTCCACTTTAACTGGGAAAACTGGCTCTAGTTGTGAGAGTCTGTCTATTAATCTTGCTGTATTTTTGTTCCTACTCTGTGAAAAAGTCCTTCCTCATAGCAACAAAAATTAAACTTCAGTTTGCGCTGAAGTTTGGACGGTAATACGATGATATTGTTTCTGATCGCTCACCGACAGATTATTGACTGTCGGACGCCTGTTGGCTGACGGGTGGGCTTAAAACTGTCGGCCGACAGGTTTTTTCAGGGAGTTGTTCTCCACAATTTTACAAATGCAATTACATTGAGCCACATCAATAACTAGAGCTCTTCAAAATGTCGCAACTGCTCTATCTCTCAATTAATTACGATATTTTGAATTTGATCCACAAAGCTTCTGTAATTCGAATTTTGAAAGGAAACATTTCTAAACTAAGTAATGAATCGGTGATTGCGATAAAGCTCTTTATCTTGTCAAAAATAGTGAAGCATAACAACTTAACGAATCCTTTTATTTCCATTGTCTCAGGCTGCTACTGTCGCTGGTCTGTTGAAAACTGCTCGTCTCCTTCGTCTCGTCCGAGTCTCCCGCAAAATGGATCGTTATTCTGAATACGGTTTAGCGGTCGTTTTCCTGCTGACGTCTCTTTTCACTCTTGTTGCCCATTGGCTGGCTTGTATCTGGCACGTAATTGGCAGGGAAGAGATTGGAGTCCCGTATGGTTGGATTCAACTTTTGGCGGGAACATTAAACAAACCGATAAATGAATCATTGCCGGGAAGCGGACCGGGGGCTGGGACCCGATACATCACAGCTTTGTACTTCACGTTAACCAGCCTGACGAGTATCGGATTTGGGAACGTTGCTCCTAACACCGACAATGAAAAAATATTTTCTGTTATAACGATGTTGATAGGAGGTAAGTAAAGTGCGTCTCTTTTTAGTTCCTTTGGCAAAAACGTTTTTCCTCACATAAATTTTGGTTTCCCAATGTAAAATAATGCTCGTCTTGAACAGATAGGATCGCAAGAGTTTCAGGCGCCCTACCAAGGGCTTCTATGACCAGCAGACCTGACAGAACGACCAAACTTTATCAACAGATTATATTTGACCAATCTCGATTGAAGAATGCATTTTGACTGGTAGTCAACCCTTACTGCTTAGCTGTATCCTGTAAAGAAGACTTCTATAACAAATTTATTTTCAATATGGTTTAGCCATATTTGAATCTGGCTGATATTTTTTTTTAAAATAGCTCTATTTTACGCGGTGATCTTTGGAAACTTAACGGCCATCATACAACGTCTTTACTCCCGTTCAGCCCGATATCATGGAGATATGCGAGTCGTTAAGGAATTTATTTCCTTATATAACATACCAGAATCCCTTCAAGGGACCCTCCGAGAATACTTTACCATGGAACAAGCGGCAACTAAAGGGAGTGATATCGAATCGGTAAGAAGAGGTGCTGGTGTACATTAGTTCGAGGTTTATATATATGTTTTTGCTAAAAACTCACGGGGCCTTGCTTAGGGGAATTCTTTGAGGTCGTCTTCCTATCTCCCTCAGGGGATCCCCGTGGAAGTTCCGTAATGTCGTCAGTCGTCAGCATGTTCCGAAGAAGATCTCAGTGTAAGGTTCCCTTGGGTGGTCTTAAACATATTTCCAAGAAGATCTCTTCAAGAAATTCCTTGGGGTCTTCCTTGGCATTTCCTTAAGGGGATCGCATAAACGCATTAGAGACAAAAGAAACTTCCCCGGACAACTTTCACTCCATATTCCCTTCCCTCTCCTAGGGGTCTCTTATACAGTATGACACTTAGAGGGTATCCCGCAAGTGCTTCAAGGAGCGAATCTGGTAGTCTCGTCTCTCTCTCTCTTAGATTTTTGATAGACGAAAAGATTTTCCCTATAATAGCCTCCGATCTCATTTATTATCTTCTGCCATCAGATCATGTACCGCTTTCCTGAATCACTTCAAGCCGACATTAGAGTTCACATAAACCGCCAGGTGTTTGAAGAATTTGAGATTTTTCGTGGAGCAAGTGAAGGCAGTCTCCGCGCTCTCGCGAAGGCATTTCGTGTCGAGATGTTTCCTCAACATCACTTCCTGTTGAAGGAAGGCGACCAGGTCACTAAGCTCTATTTCATTGTGTCCGGCACTGTGGATGCCATACAGAGTCAACAAAGTATGAAGTTTCTGGGTAAGGACGGATGGTCACCGGTTTCAATTCAGTGTTAGGGTTCGATAGGCAGTGTCAAATTTTATCCGTAGGATTCAGAGAATTTCCCGAACAAAAACAACTTATGATCGGTTAACGCGGTTCCTAACAAACTCACAACATTTAAATTCGTTTGTCTTTTCTCAAAAATTCAAAGAAACTAACTGGCGTCTCGTTCTTTAGGTCCGGGAGAGATTGTTGGTTGTAACGTGACATCGTTTCAAAGAAGGCCTGGTCACTCTTTTAAATCCAAAGCTAACCTCGTCTCCAAGGTTAATTCCCAGGTCCATCTCATCGAATGGCAGGATCTTCTGCGAATCACAAGAGTGTATCCTGAAATCAGGGAACGCGTTATGGAACAGATGGAGCTATCTTATGACCTGGATTCTACAGAAATGGTAAGAAAACAAAAAATTTAAAAAAAGTATCGCCTTGGATAAAACAAGGACGACAAAACCACTGCTAACCCTGCGGCGGGTTTTGCACGTGACAAAAATATTCTGCAAACTGACTACCTTCTAGCGTCGTTATACAACCTTAAGTTCTTTTACAAAATTGTGCTCTATCAGGAGCCACATGCAGTCTTAGACTGTTTATTTTTTATTCTACTTGACGCTCCAAAGCGCCAGTCGCGTAACAAGTTTCTATGCTGTACCTGCTTCACGATCGGTCAGTATCTCCAAGTTTCAACCCTTTCTCTGTTTTCCGATTGATTTGCAACGCACAGGAATATAGAGATTCCAGGGCAGGAGATCGAAAACAAGACTGCGTCGACTTAATCCAAATGCCCGCCGATGAAAACAGTGCTCAAGTTTTAGCTCTCCGACGACGAAGGTCACGGTCTAATACTGTGGAAGAATACTCCAACACAAGCGACCGCACATCAAATGAATATCAGATCAACAGAGAGCTGTTTACCACCAATATAGATGTACAGCAATTAGAAGCAAGGCTAGGACATATAGAAGATTTATTGATCAAAATTGCCAAGTCCTTAAACATAAAAGACGGCGTGATACCTAAAAGCCAATCAACTAATGACTTGTTTGCTAGTACTTCGTACGTGTAACTAGGTTCCCTAAGGGACCAGTTATAATTTATTCATTGGGAGATGGCTTGGGGTCAGAGGAAATGAGGGGATCATGGGTCACATGGCTTTCGGGGGAAACGGAAGGGGAATCAGTCGTCGTTAACAGAGTATGAAGGCGGGCGGGGACTATAGAAAATTATTGCCAATGAGGTTGAACTATAGGAATACTAAAGAGCCTTAGGGGGAGATTAGGTGATTTTTTTTTTTTTGTACGTGACGCAACCAAAATCCCCTCCCCCAACCCTGATGCAATGAATAACGACTACACGTACACGTTACTTACTTGGTTACTTAGTCTCACACGTTACAAATTTGATGTGTGTAAAAATCACACCATTTTGAAATACTAATGAATTTTGATTATACTATGACCGTTTTTGCTGAACATTAAGTCAATTTTTATGATACTTTCCTTTTCTGAGGAAGGATACATAGAATGATAAACGAAAGGCAACCTGAAAATCTAGTCCAAATATTTCTTCTTTCTCAAAATCGGCTCTGTATAGTTTTCAAAACTGAAAGATTGTATAAACGCCTCTTTTATGAGTGTAAAATCAACTTAGCAGCTGGACTCAATGAACACTTACTAAGTAGGGACCTTTTTCAACAGTGACGGCGATGTAACTTACGTGTAGCCGCACACTCCCTCCCTAGGTGAAACGTTACCTCGCCTCCGTTTCACCATAATTTGCGTGGTCTTCGAAGGAGAAATTTCGACGACAAATTATTTAAGTTTCCTACATCTACTCTGGTTGGCGATGCTGCAGTTGAGGTGTAGTACCGTAAGAGACTGCAAACACACGCAACCGTTTGCAAAATTGTGAATTAAAATACAATTTAATTTTTTAAACAAAGTCTACCTCAGCGTTTCGGTCTTGATAGCTAAAGGTCCCTAATGATGATTCACTCTTACGACCTCTTTTTACTCACACGACATATATTCCTATTATATCGAACAACTACTTGTTTAACTAAATAGTTAGCTTTTCTCCTGCTTTTTATGCGTGCTACAGGTATATAATGGTACACATGATGCAATAAACTTGCTTATAACATAGATCAGAACAACGCCTCATGACTTGATCAGTCGAAAAGAGGGGAAAACATGATACATGTATCTTTATTCGTTACAGTTTTTGAGACTTCAAGTTGCCTCCCCAAAGATATGAAATAAAATGTATTCTTTCTCTCATCGCAAGCTTTGAAACTGCATGTTAACCCAAGTTTCACAAGGGGTACTGAAACATGTTTACATTGTAAACGAACCTGGACATATTCAAAGCAGGTTATAGGTTTTTAATCCGACTGAATGAGCTTTGATTGATAGAACAATCTTGCATAGCCGTGCGGCACTTTTCTCACTCGGTCAAAAAGATTTCTGAGTGGGAAGCGGTGACTGCTGCTGTGGTGAACTCTCATGCTCAAAGATTTGCATAGTCTCTAACAAATTCCGCAGACTGGAACTTGATCCTGGAATGCAAACAGATAACAGTGTTTTCATAAGATTACACAGTCCACACACGCTCTCGACTTGTAGGAATAATCCATTTTAAATCTTAAATCGATTCGTAACCTATGAACCGTTTATCAAGAATTTTTCCGGTTTGTTATTTGTGCCCTTAAAGTTTTCAAATGCATGTTATCTTGTTCTGCTCGCTCCTGAGATTCTAAAAAACTTCGTACCTTGGCATGACGTTGACATAACAAAAGAAGGCAAACATTACAGGACAGATATGACGAATCGTTCTTTATTCATAGTACACTCTCGTTGAAATTATGGCAACTGAAACAGACTAGTATCCTCTAAAAAACTTAACCTTTGTTCAAGTGTGATCCGATGAAAAATGTTTTCACCCATTTTTTCTAGATCATCAGCCTAAATTACTAACATATGTACTTGGAAAAATATTTTATCTTCACAGAAGGTCTGAATCATCACGTACGGATTAGGGTTGGATTGGCACGATGTATGTAAATTATCGAGCCGACCGCAGGCCAGAGACAACACACAAACTATTTTAAGAGTCACTTCAACATCTGATTGCTCATGCATTTCCTACGTAAACACAGAGCTTTTAGCCCTCAAGAAGTTTTAAATGTTTTTGTAGCCATCTAGCAGTGAAGACGGTTTCCGTTCATGAACGCGTGGCGTGGTGGAATTCAAAACCGTGGAGTGGCGTTGAAAATTTCGGACGCTGGAAAGTTTCGGTGGGACAACAGCGCGAACGCAGTTTTTCTCTTCAAGGGAACATGAACTACTTTTGGAAATCTGTTCGCACCGTGAGCTTCTTGCTTGCGTGTTTTGCTGCCAATTTTCCAATGTTGGATGCCACGAAGACACTATACATAGGAGGTTTATTTCCAATGAGTGGTTCCTCTGTAGCTTCGGCAGGAAAAATATTTCTTCCTGTAAGCGAACTGGCAATTGATATGGTGAACAACCGCACCGATTTGTTAAACGGTTACCAATTGCAGCTCATATGGAATGATACACAGGTATCCAAAATCATTTTTTTTTGTCTGTTGGTTACATCTCAGAGTATAGTCACTAAAACTCAAATTATTTGGTTTCTTAACAACTTCTCTAGTAGTGAATTTCATTACAACTTCATCATTTGCGCGACATTTTCAGACACAGGCAAAACCATTTACAATACCTTGAGTACTGTGGGAAGTTTAGGATGACCTTTGATGACATGTCGCATTACAACGCTGACAGCCTATGTGTAAGGGATAAGTTAAATACTTCAAAATTATATTCTGTCCTGTCTCTCTCAAAATCGCTTCTCTCCACAGTCATTTCCCCCCCCCTTGTGAAAAATGGCCGTTGAACATTCAAACTTTTTTCGTTTTGAAATCGACGCGTTGTTTGATCGCAAAAAAATTCCTTTGGTTACGCACACGAAAATAAACGACTCAGCTATTATTCTATTTAAAAGGAAATTTAGCTCCCAAAATGATGCAATATACAACCTTAACAAAGGAACAATAGGGAAATGATATCTAGAGCGTAATTATCTTAAAAGTGTTTGGATCAAAATTGGTGTAGACTTGAACAGATTTTCGTTGTCATGGCCTGGAAGAATCTATATCGTTAACTGCACTTCAAAGTCAACAATGGCCTATTAAAACTCTCAGAAATAACTTCCGAAGGGAACGAAAAGTCAGTATTCAGTACTACTGAAATGTTTTACTTTACGAAACTTTGTTTGAAAACATTTCAGGCATTGAATTCTTATGTTAGACGAAACATTTTATTCTTTTTGTTAACAGAACGTGGCTGTAACATTTGTTTGCGGCAAACGCTTCTTGAATATCACTTCCGCTAGTTTGCTTTGGGTTTTTCGAGAGCTTTTCGAAAACCACGTCAAAATAGGCCGGCTTTTCCTGACGCCCTTCACATTCATTATGGTTTCATATTGACCAAAAATTTTGTAGTTTGGTTTACAAATTTAGAAAATGAGCGAAGTCTTGTTATGTTGTCTTTATCCACCACAGAAAGTGAACACTGTGAACACTCAGTTGAAATACAATTTTCAATTTCGAATTCCTTTTCAAATCGGACCAAAAACTTCATTGAGTAGAAGACCATTGTAAATACAGTTCGATTGTTGTTGACATTCTAAGGCTCTTGTTCATAGCCGTTTTGGTTAAAAAATTATGGATTATTCCTTCTAAAGCTTGCAATTAAATTCAAGGGAAAATGAGTTTAAAATTTGATATTTCCTCCTCAACAGAACCATTGAATCAAGCAAAAAGTCGAGCGAACAAACGCTTTGTCCTCTTGAAAATCAATGCAGCAATCCAGTTTCGCGTGAAAAATTTATTGACCCGATCTTCCATTTTATTCATTCAACTCACGGCTATCGTCTATGTGCCCTCGACTATGTGAGCGTCAGAGTTTAACATAATTGATTTTCTCGTCCGCTAAAATCTTAAACTTCGACGTCATAACCTTTGTTTTGGAAATTATCTAATCGTTATTGCACAAAAGGCTCTATTTGAAAGTCTTTCTACACATCAAGTATTGACTTGTTTATCATGATGATATGAGCGCAATCTGTTTTTCATAATTCTTCAGCAATTTGAACTGCTAAGTCAAATTTCATACCTTTTCAAGGTATTTGTAATTACGTAGCGAAATATCGGGCTCGCTTTTCCATATTTTGTTTATTCGTAGTTATGAAGCAATTTTGACGTCGATGCTTAAATTAGAAATATTCTTGTCAAACTTAATTGCTTTCAAAATTAGGATATGACAAAATTTTCGTGCTTTAATTGATAACCAAATTACCAGACTGTGAAATGAAGAAACTTTTCTCCGAATGAAATGATTCCCTTGGCGGCTGTTCGCTGAAGTCTGTAATAAGTAATTTCTGGCTTAGTTTTCCGCTCTAGAAAAATTTTCAATGGCTAAACATTTTGGCGAAACAGAAATCATCAAGTATTTCATATAATGGTCTCATTCTGTTCCAATAAGGCAAAATAATTAACAACTATTGACAGAGGATTGTTATCTTTTTACAACATTGATATTTGCAAAATCACGCGATGGTCGAATTTGAATGATTTAGCGCGTTTAAAATTCCCTTTTGTCTTTGCCCTGAGGTGAAAAATAAATTGCAACAATATTCACTACACTTACCACAACTTGACCCCCAAATCTCTTGTTGTGAAAATGAGATTCAATTTATTTTTTTTGGCACGAGTTGACCCGTGTTACCCCACTGGAGAGCAGTCTCCCGTGTTGTGATGTACGTAATATTTACGAAATGCGTCATCTCCCACTGTTACCTAGTTGCAATCAGCTCTTCAGTCAATTTATCAAGTTTCATTATCGGTTTCTTTGATCGGATGTCTAGAAGATCAAAACTTGCAGGAGGTAAATCCATTTCATAACTTGCCTGAAGCATTTTCCCATTTGTCGTGAAATCAAAGCCAAAGTAGAAAAAGCAGTCTTTGAGGAAAGCGGTAACTATCACGAGCAAACTTCCCAAAGCGCGGGAAAACGCGTGTGACCAAGTTGCGATTGGTTTTAGTTTTGTATCTGATTGGTTGAGAAGGAAGCGCGAGTTTTCCGGACCAATATGAAATTACTTACAACTCTATGTGAGTCTGGTGAAAAAGGAGAATATTACGGTTCTTAACGTTATTTCATTTTAGAGCTGGCAATACATCTTGTTTCATGCAACTTAAAAAGCTATGAGGCTGGTAGGAAATGATAGGAAAGTCTCAAAAGCGTGTTGCTGCCCTCTTCTGACCCGGGTTTTGAGTAGTGGTCAGTGGTGGTCAGAAATGGATTATACTTATACGATTCTAAAATTTGTTTTATTTTCTGACTAATTCACGGCAGTGTGACCCAGGACATGCGACAAACTCGCTGTTTGAGTCCCTTCACACCAGGCCCCCAATGATAATGCTCCTAGGGGCTGCTTGTTCATCAGTGACCCGAGCCACCGCACAGATCGGCAAGCTCTGGAATCTTGTACAGGTAAATAGTAAATTATTTAACTTTGGTATCTTCTTAAAAGTGAATTCATGGAAATTTTGTTTTGGAGAGGAATATGCCAGATAGCTTGTACAAATAACAATGATTGTGCCTGAAACAATTCCTTATAAAATGTAGAGGTAAATTTCGACGAATTAACTCTTAAATGTTGAGGTGCATTTGCTAAATCTAAGAAGGTATTTGCTAAATCTATCGAGGTATCAGAACTATCTTCTTCTGGAATCTCTACCGAAGAGAAACACAACAAAGCCGTGTTTGGCATTCACAATAAGGAGATTCCAGCTGTTGTTTTGAAGAGGAACGCTATTTTTTTATAATTACTGACCCTCATAAAATCCTATTGTTCTCTCTCTGCATTATATCGGCGATTTCAGTTGCATTGTTGGTGTACCAAAACATCAATATGAAGGGGCGACTGAAATCGTCGATGTAATGCAGAGAGAGAACAATAGGATTTTATGAGGGTCAATAATTATAATAGTTAATTACTGAGGTTCGCAGCATTATTGGGTATAATGCTGCGAACCTCAGTAATTATCTATTAAATAATTACTCGGAGGTCGTGCACGTGTAAGCGTTGTTCTGCGAATGACAATTTGTTTACTATTCAAAGCCATACTCCCATAGACAATCCATTGTCATTGTGGTTTTTTTTTTTCATCCAAGCACTGCATGTACAATGAGGTAAGGGGTTATACGGAAATCTTGCCATTTTTATCCTGGATAGAAGCGATCTCTGGTTTGCCGAAACATTGAAGCGCTAGCTTAGAGTCGTGACCCTTTAACTCCCATGAGTGACCGAGAGAGAATTTCTCCTTACCGTGTCGATACAATATCAAGTAAACAAGTGATGAGAATAAAGAAAAATATCAATAAAGGGATTACGATTTGATCCAATATTAAATTCTCTGACCTAACATCGTAATAATTGTATGGCGAACAATAAGGAGAATTACTAATGAGATCTTGGGAGTGAAAGGGTTAAACGCGTGAATGCAAAGCTGCGTGGTTTAGAAAATAGTGTAACCAGACAAAGCGTGATTAGGAACAGTCGCCAGTCCTCACGTCTCATTTTAATTGACAGGTGTCATATGCCTCCACTGCCAGCGATCTATCCAATAAGGAGAAGTATCCCATGCTATACAACATTGTACCACCTGACTCTGCATATAACAACGCGAGGATAGCTTTCTTAAAGCACTTCAAGTGGAAGAGAATTGCTACTATTCGACAAAATAGTTACGTCTTTGATGAGGTGAAGTATCGATCAAATAGCGACATAATTATGGTAACATTTGAGTGGAACAAAAAGGTCAAAAATAAATTAATACATTGGTATTTAAGAGACTGACAAGGAGAGTTTAAACGACAATTAAGAGCCTCGTCGGTTCGTGAGCGTTTCCTTCATTCTCATGACCTTAATTTTTGATTCAACAGTGATGCTGGATGTAAGAAGAAATTAGATGCTAGTCACTCGAAGGGGTTTGGAGGGGGGAGGGGAGGTGGCGTGATAAGGGTGGGAATTTAAGCGCCTAAATTCTCAAATATCCAGCCTAAGTGAGGACCGGAGGAAAGTGAAATTTACTATGGTGTATTCATGTTAGGACTTTGCGTTTTCATGGTTTACACTATGCACTTCACGTTGAAAGTGTTAAAATTAAAATACTATCTTTCAGGTTATGGACATGCTCCAAGAAGATCTTATAAACAACAACTTCGATCTTATAGCCACGGAACTGTTTCATGACGATCCTAAGATTCAGGTTGAAAATCTGAAGGTAAGGTTTCCTGAAAAGAAATCGAGAGTTACTTAGCTACGATTAATTCCTGAGAAGTTTTCATCGAATTTGTATTAACCTCAACAGAAGAGAGACGCCCGCATCATTGTTGGGATGTTCTACGAAGACAAGGCTCGGAGAGTTTTTTGCGAGGTGCAGTATTCAATTACCACGCGATTCTTTGTTATATGCATGCTTTCTGCTCATTTCATTCCTCAAATGTTGCATGATATTGGCGTTTCATGCAACATGCACGGCACAACATTTTAATTCGCAAAGTAGCTTGTTTGAACGATAGGCAGAAAGGATTTGTGACTTGTGTGTCCTTAATTACCTTTAGTGGCCCCTGTGTGTTTTTACCCAAATGTTCTGTATTATTGCCGTTACTTCTAACACGGGAGGCAATCAGACATAGCAGAAGATTTTTAATTTGTAAGGAAACTACTTGGTTAGAAAGCTAAAAGTAAATTGTGAGTTCATGTGTGCTAAAGTGACTTGCTTTACGTCTGCTCTTAACAACATGCATGTCACAGGCAGGCTAGTGGAATTAGGGCCGACTCGCGGACTAAACTTCGAGTCACGTTGATCTTTCACCATACCTTGCTTCGTTTTCTTTGGTGTAGGCATACAAACAAGAAATGTACGGAGAGCACTACATGTGGTTGATAATGGACTGGTACGACAACAAACCCTGGTGGCTCGTTAAAGATGATAAAATTGATTGCACAGAAGGACAGATGAGAATGGCGACCGAGGGCTACTTTTCCGTTGAGAGTGCACGGATTGTTTCCAACCAGGAACCCACTATATCAGGAATGGTGAGTTGAATAGCGTGTAAGGGTGAGGGTGTAGCGTCCGCAATCGGACGGAAGTGTCAGAAATCTGACGAAAGCGTCTGAAATCGGAGTGTGACGTTGGAAATCGCACGATAGCGTCCGAAATCAAAATTTTTGACATAAAGTGTTGAAAAACGATATAAAACTGAACGATTGAGTAACAGACTGACTGACTGACTGACTGACTGACTGAATGACTGACTACTGACTGACTGACTGACTGACTGAATGAATAAATGACTGATTGACTGATTGTCTTATTGACAGACTAAATGACTGACTAACTGACTGACTAAATGAGTGACTGACTGAATGACTAAATGAATTAATAAATAAACGATTGACTGACTCAATGACTGACTGACAGACTGACTGACTTACTGATTGACTTAATGACTGACTGACTAACTTATTGACTGACTGAAGGACTAAATGAATATTTAATTAATCGATAGACTGACTGTTTGACTAACTGACTGACTGACTAATTGATTGATCGATTGGTGTATAAGGAAAATTCCACCAACGTTTCAAAATATTAAACGATTTTCTTTACTCTGTAGACCTCCGAAAAGTTTCTACAAACCCATGTCAAGCCTAGTGGAAACAATACAGATCTTTATGTTCCCTTCGTGTTTGACTCCATGTGGACGATTGCTCTCACATTGAACAAGTCTATGAGTGAAATCCGCAAAACCTTGAACAGATCCCTAGAAGATTTTACCTACCAAGACAGTGGCATGGCGCAAATTTTCAAGCAAACGTTGAAAAACCTGGAATTCCAAGGGATTACGGTAGTGACATGCTAATAATTTTTTCACCGTAACCCTCACCTACCGCGGGCTCTCTTCCCTCGCTTTGAGTTAAAAATGAATGCTCCGTGCTTTTGGCTGAGCCGGAGGCAAGACATATATTCATTCTAGATATCAGCTTCCAATCATAGAGAAATGATTAATCGTCAACCTGTATTTTCGCGGCTGCTCAACTAAAAGGAGGTTATCTGTCAGTCCACTGATCAAGAATCAAATTAAATATTTTACCTTTGGGTTTTATGATATTCATAACGATAAGCAAATTTTCAAGCATTAACGTTTAAATTTGTTTATTTCGTAGGGAAAAGTGACGTTTTCAAGTAAAGGGGAAGGAACGAAGCCCTCATACATAAAACAAATGCAAAGTAAGTTGATTCATTCGATTTAATATTTTGGACACGAGTGGCCGATTTTGGAGTTTGAACCCCAATGGTCGACCTGAGATTTGGACAGTAACGCCCAATTTTGGATTTTGTACTGACAAAATGTAAAATAATACGAGCACCTTCTGATTATAAATCTGCATTTTGTTCCAATTTACGGACGAGATCTTTACCTCGTGCTAAATCGAGTTAATTATTGACGTCGCATCTCGTGAACTTTCATTTCTTTGCTTTCAAACAGACGGAATTTCGAAGATATTGGGCACATACCACCCTGATACCGATAAAATTGTGTTGGATGGTGCTCAAGTCTTATGGAAAGGTATGTTTAGGTAACATCATTCATCTGAGTAAGTAAACAAACCTTTGCTCATCAAGAACTGGAGCTCCAATTAAAAGCCGACTCGTTAAGGCAGCATGTGTACTGTTCGATACCTGGCTTCTTTTCTTGAGACAATGATATGTGCGATTTTGGTGTCAATATCCTTCAAAGTTCCGAAAATATCTTACGACTTCCGAACATAGACGAATATTGCCGAAGATTTTTCGATAAATTATGAAGGTTAATATAGTTTATCGTAATGAAAAATTAAATGAAGACTGGGGCTTTTCTTAGAAAAATGAAACGAACGTAAAACAAAAAGATTTTCCACTACTTCCAAATTCCAGCCATGTCCATTCTTTTTTCCTTAGCCTCATGTAATCGCACACTTGTAAAACAGGTTTTGAGAAAAGGAGATATTTCTGTCGTGAAAAATTACCCCCATATTCCGTGACAGTATTCCTCTACTTCTCGTCTTTGAACGTTAAGGTGGCGCTCCTCCAACTGATGGCAAAGTTACCATTTATGAGATACAGTACGTTTCTACGCCACTGTTTTGTGTCATCGTTATTTTGACCAGCGGAGGCATTTTATTGGCGGCGTACTTCCTGCGATTCAATTTTGTTCAACGAATGCAACGGTAAGTTAGGGAAGCTACGTAATATATGATTTGTGAATGGATGTTTTGTGTATGTCCGATGATGAAGACATTGAATGGTAATATTCCTCCTCCGCTTCACGCCATATGTGACATATTTTTTACTAAGTTAGGTTTTCGTTTTTTCCTTCAGCCATATCAAGTTATCAAGTCCAAACCTTAACAACGTGATAATCTTAGGATGTGTATTGATCTACATATCTGTTTATATGATCGCCATCGATGGTAAATTGGTGGACACCAGCACACTAACGGGCCTGTGCAGGGTAAGTTTATCTGAGTAAATATTCTCCTATACACAAGTCTAAAGAGTTTTATCTATATCAGCTAGGGGCTTAGTATAGTAGTATACATAGCCTCCTTCCGTCTAGCCAATAGTATCAATTGGTACTAGGAATCTAATGTAGAAACTTTAAGCCAACCTCGGAGGATATGAATACTTTCGGTTGCTTTGAGCTAAGGAAACCAGGATGACCTCTAGGTGTAGTAAGTCATAAGTTTTGTCGGAATTTAGTGCAAAGTTCATGTTGATGCAATCATCTTACCAGCTAAGGAATTTCCTTGTCATTTCAGGCTCGAGGTTTTCTCTTGTCCGTTGGTTATAGTCTAGCGGTTGGTGCAATGTTCTCAAAGCTGTGGCGAGTGTATCAGATTTACAGCAACTTTAGACCTAAAGAAAAGGTAAATTTCGACAATCTTTTCACAATATCAAAGCTCTGACCAAAGAAAATAACGTGACCAATCACAAAAAATGTACGTAACGCAATGGACCACTTACAATTTAGGGAAACTGCACGAGACCGTCGCAAAGGGCGGGAAAACGTACGTACCCAAGACGAGATTGCGCTTGCATTTACCTCTGATTGGTTTAATGGGGCTTAAGATAGTGAAAAATAGCGAAAATTAAAGTGAGAAAAAAAGATTTGGCTTTGGGATTCAGCTCAAAATTACTGTGTCATACAAGTCTTTCCTGTATTTACCACAAGCAGCGATGTGATCTTAAAAGAACTGTGCACTAGGGGTGCATAAGCGGCAAACATCGCCAGGAAGGATCGTCTCATGAAAATTGAACTCTTGCTCTGGACGTGGCTATGAGACCTTTGTCCATAATTTTCACAATCTTTGCTTCCTCAGACACTCAAGTATAAGGAACTTATTGGTTTCGTGGTAGTTTTGGTACTGATTGACATAGTTGTAATGTCTCTGTGGATTGGAGTGGATACACCTGAGATTGTTACAACTGACATACAGTCGCAGGTTAGTCAGTCGGGTTAAAGCGATCAAAGTACAATTTCTATTTGATGTTTCATGGCACAGTCACGTGAAAGGGTCGTGGGAATATAGATCAAGAACTTCCGACTTTCAGCCAATTGCCGACCATTCTCGATCGACTATTGATCGACTTTTTAAAGTATATTCGCCACATGCCACAACCTTCAAAAATATATTAACATACCTGTTTCTTTTCAGATTAAGGAAGAACCTCATTTTAGAATTATACCACAGGAGCAATACTGTACTTCCAGATACTTCACCACTTGGTTATACATTCTGCTCGGCTACAAAGCTCTCTTATTGGTGATTGGATGCTTAATCGCATGGGTCACACGTGAGGCAAAAGTCCGCCTGCTCAATGACTCGCGTTACGTGTGCATGAGTGTGTATAATATAATACCTTGCGCTCTGGTGGGTATACCGCTGGCCTTCCTGATTGATGGTCACATTAACGCGCTTGTGGCGTGTGTCTCGTTTTTTCTGCTCCTTCCTACAACAGTGACACTTTGTTTGCTTTTTGTACCGAAGGTGAGCAAGAAACGAGTTTTTCGCAGATAATCTCAGAATAATTTCTGTTATTTGCGTGCTTTTTGTTTCTTCACTCTTCTTTAAAATTTTCATTCGTGCGACGCACTCGCCGAAAAGGAAAGATTGCTTGTAGTCTAGGGGGGAACTTATTTTCTACAAGCTTTTCTTTTGACGAGTAAGACCTACCAACGACAAAAACAGACACGATGACATAACAAACGTTATAACTTATCAGTCGAAATATTGATAAATGACAAATATAAAATATAAAGGGCCTCCTAGAGGGGGTTGGGATATTTAATAATTTTTTGGCGTATAGAAATCCTTTTTCTGGTAATAATGGCTGAATTCTGATTGTTTTGTGACTACCTACTCAGGACGTCTCCTGCCTACAAAGGTCAACGAGTGAAAAAGGTTAAGAAAGTTTCTCAACACTTTTATATAAGACGTTTTTGTTCCTGTCGTAGATTTTGAAGCTCAAAAAGAATGCGGAGGAGCAATTTCGGATATCTGCTCTACAATGTCCTACACGAAACGTAATGGAAGTAAATTACGATTCGCTTGATTCATCTCATTCCGTCAATGATCCCAATGCGGATTCAAAACTTCAGGAAGAGATAGCCACGCTCAAGAAAGAAATACGTGCAATTAAACTTAAACACGGAGAAAATGCAATTCCAAACCTGTCGGTTAGAATCACCGACCCTGTTGAAAATGGTCGGGAGGGGAAATATTTCGCTCAACTGCCTGTAAGACTGCTGACTAGACCACAACTTAACAAGCGGGCAGTTACGTGTCATACCACTCAAGAATTGTGCGTTCGAAAGAGGCGTAAACGTCGGTCATCCTCGTTTTCCGGACCGTATTTGCAACGGGGATCACTCGACATTGGGTCGTTCTTTTCCGAGCTCGCTGATCCGCTATTGGTGCTGAAAGCGGAGAACCGAGAACTGAACAGAAAGCTGCAAGAGGCGAGAATTTCCGAGGCGGGAAAGCTGGCTAAAGTGTGGCATGAGAATGCGCAGCTTCACCGCAAGATTGTGGAGCTCAACCTCAAAAGTGCTCCGGGCGAAGAGGCTGAAAAAGTGTCACGTCTCCTTAAGGAAAATGCGGAGTTGAAGAAGCAGTTGGGAGAAGTCAGTATTTTGAATTCAGTTTGGTGTGATGTAACGCCTCAAATACAGAGAAAACAGAACGAGGATAGAAAAATTTCGAAAGATTTAAGAGAGGTAAGAGACATTCACGAATGGAAATTATTTCTGAAAGTAACACATACTGTGGCTGAAGTTCCATCTTTTAAGATGCAAAGCTGTTCCGCCTATCCAGAACCTTTTATTTATCAATCTATTCATTCATTTATATTTAGCTTGATTGCTCGTTTTTAAGCTAGTTTTAGGGCCTAGGAGGATCCCGCTCAAGAAAATACAGAGTCGGCGGAGTATTTTCTGAACATGGGGGGGGGGGGCTCCTGGTGCAAAAATATCTTCACATCCCCCCACTCGAATTCTCCCGAATTCCCTAAAGTGCAAGCAAACCTATTTGCCTGCTGAACAACCAAACCATAATCGATTGCTACACCGCATAAATAAGCAGTTATTGAGAAAAAATGTCTAAAAGTAGCTCCCTCTCAACCAATCAGATGCAAAACTGAAGCCAACTGCGACTTGAAGGTCACTCGTGTTCTCCTCCTTTTCAGACAGCCTCCTTGTTTCTGTGCCCTCATTGGTCGTAATAATAACTATGCTTTTAGTTTATTGAATAAACAACCAAATAGCGCCCTAACTTGAGCGAGTGAAATTGTATAAATATGGGATTGGCTTCGGAATATCGACCCTCTGTCTTAGTGTGCAAATCATTCAAGCCGAAATAATAATTTCAAACTGAGAATTTTGTTTTTCTCCTCAACAGCTTCAGCAGCTGCTTAGTGTGGATCTCGGTGGTCACAGACCGGGATCTTTCCGTCCATCTCCTGTCACAAGACCACCTCCCATTGGCCGCTCCCAGTCCTCGTCCGAGTTGCACTGCACCTGGAACGGAACCCCATGTGGTGACAAGAAAAGACCCATTAGCCCTTTTGCAACAACCGCCATGAAACGATTTAGCTTTGAGGGCATCGACAAAAGACAAGATTTCTGCCCAAGCACTGAAAATCCAAGAGCTGGAACAACGACGGCGGAGGCTGAAGCAGTTAAATCTTTGACGATTGTATCGGAATCTCCTCAAGCTGTGATAAGCGAAACCAGAAGCACGGGAAAAGCTCCCACTATTATTCGTCGAGATAACATAGATGGTTGCGAGTCGGAGAAAGAAATTTCTGGCATCGGCGAAAGAACCAATATGGGATTTAGCAGTGATGAGGATGAAGATATAATTCATTTGAAGTCGGTAAACAAAATGGATGAAAATCTTGAGAAACCTTCCATTTTTAATCACGAGAAAGAAGATGTCATGATAAGCAGCCAAAATGTAATTCCGAAGATCGTGCGTCAGGATCGGCTCTTTTCGTCAGAACCAAAAGACCAAAGCATTTCCGATCCAAAGTCCAATTCTTATTGTGAATCATCGGACGAAAGTGTTCAAAATCGTTTTGGTGTTGAGACTTCTAGAGTGGTACTCGATGAAAATGACAATTTGCAAAGTACTGTAATACTACTAAACCCATTAGTGGCTAATGATTTCGATACAAATCAAGAATTTTCTGCGGAAATAAAGAACTTTTCAGGTCAGACTGAAGAAAAAGTGGAATTGTCAGACTCAAAGACACTTGATTCCCCAGTACATGAGGCAAATCCTACACGAACACAGAAAGCTTCATACGACCGAAGTGCAAAGGACTTTCCGGCTTACATGAGGAAAGTGCAAAGAAAGAAGGAGAAAAAGAAAAATGACAAAATAGAAAAAATATTCTTTGTATAATCAATTCTGACAAACAAACTTATTAATCATCGAAGTATTTGCTCAATTAATTGGTATCTTGTGGAAGCGTCAAGGGAAAAGGAGAAAACATGGAGTCTTATCTGAAATATAAAGATGCAAAAAAAAATTCTGCTGTCATCCATCATCACTGGGGCTGAGATTGGGGTGGAGACTGGGCCGAGTTTGCCAAAAGGGAGTTTTAAAGGAATTACCTGACCCTTCCTCGGAAATTTATTACCTGACTCATATTTGACTCATCAGAACAAATACGTTTCCATGCTATTAGATTTATTTCAGTTTTCGCCAAAATTTTTCACAATTTCACATTCCTTTTCAACTCGTTAGTGCTAAATCTGCGGAGTTGTTCTAAAAATTTTTCCTTTAATCTCTAAGGAAGGCTGTTAATATCCAGGTTTTGTCTCCAGGAGATCCCGCTATATTACTGGTTGCCGGCTTGTCGAGCCTGTTAACCCTCCAATGGCCTACATACAGGGACCGCGATTCCTGTATCAAATACCAGAGCCATACATATTGTCCCCTCCGGACAATCTAGTACTTCAGCTTCCGTTGGCGAACAAGCTGAAGGAAGAAAAAAGACATAAACGAAGGGAACGGTCATTATTGCTTGAGTTATGATAACATTTACCTTATCCCTTTATAACGCTATGTAATTTACTCATGAACCTCTCCCCTGATTGACAATTAATTGGCAGTCAGTCATTTTTCCATTCTACATTGGAGACGACTGATCCCCCCTCCGCCCCCCCCCCCCTTGAAAACCATGTAATCCCACGCCAGGTGATGAAAAATGGCTGGCTCCTTATTCAACAACTAGTTGTCCCTGAGATTAGGTAGAGACTGCCTAAATGCACCAAACATAGTCTGTTAGAAGAAAATACATTAAGAGTTCGAATCTTATAATATAAAGCATGACGCTCTGACCTGTTAAATATCATCATGATCTGGGGCAAAGCGAAAGTTTAGTCTGTGTTTTTGTTTCTGTATAAATTATGTTTTGTAACTGATGGAGATGAAGTTATACAATACTCTTTTGCTTGCACTATACTATAACTGAGGCGGGTAAAATTTTTAAAAAGAATCAAGAAAATAGGAAATTTAATCTTGAAGGGGAGATATTTCGGTCTGCAGGGAAAAACTTACGTCGCCAGAATTCTTTGACATCACCTAGAAAACAAAAAAAAAGAAACGATCTAAAGGTTTTATATAACCTCTTTCGTACTGTTACAAGAAGTTAAAGCAAGTTTTACTGGGTAAGGACTGAAGGAAAAAGCCAGAATGTTGAATGATTTTTAACAAGATGATATCAGTTTTTGTACTCATCGTGAAGGGAATCACTTGAAAAGAACGGAACACTTTGTAAAGTAGAAATATACAAACTGCTCGAAGAGGGTAGCAAATAGTTCATGCGTGACACGCGATTAGGCCCAAAATTAATGCGAGAGGCTTGAATTTTACAGAGGCAAGGTAATGTGAGATTTCAAGATTTCCCTTTCGATGCTTTAAATACTTGAAATATAGAATTTTAGATCCACGTTTGGCGTGTTCACTGCTAACGTCAAACCGCGGTCAGCAGTTTGTGATCAGAAGTTAGAAGTCTCGAGTTTTTCAGCTTTTTAGATCGACGTCGGCTTTCATCTGAGAAAAAGAATCATCATGTGCGCCGCCATCTTGAGTTACACAAAGGATGGGGGTCCTTTATTTCAAACACAAAATGTGGCTAGAAGATTGGTTTTCTATCGTCCCAAACGGATTGGTTGAAAAGAAAAGACTTCACTTCACGAACATACATGAGAACTTTTGATCAGGAAGAAAAAAAACCGTCGAGGGAGTTCAACTACCTGAAACTGCCTTGCCCAAAGTTCAAACGTGGACGGCAAACGGCGAACGTGACCACTGGTCACACGTATTCAGAAACAAATGTGGATCTAAAACTCCCTAATTTTGAAAGAACACGTGCCGTGCCCTCCTCAAAGCGCAAAGAAGCACAAAACTGAGGTTCGATTGGTTTAAGGTGGCGCGACTTTTCTAAACTAATTGAAGAGAGTAATGAAGACAAAATTGATGCGGTAAAGGATTGTTTTGGACAACCAATATGAAAATCCCTCGAACACGATGCGTATAGGCTAAGAGTTACAATGACTTACGGGCTTTTCCCTTACCAGCTTCCACTGTCGCACAAACCATCCAAACAATACTAATCAGAATCATAGCAATCTTCATTGTGAATAAGTGTCTTCTTTTACACCTGAAAAATAAAGCTTCTTGTCGTGGAATAAACTCTTCTCTCACTCTAAAATCTGTTGTGAAATTTGCTTGTATATCGTCTAGTATATATCAGACTAACAAATATAAATATTAAAAAGAATATTCTCAACCTTTTAATTAAATTTTTAATAACTTTTTAAATTGGTTTTTTCAATTTTTTATTTTTTAATTAATTTTTTTAATAATTGTTTTAATTATTTTTAAAATTTTTTGAATTATTTCTTTAATAATTTTTTAATTATTGTTTGAATAAATTTTTCAATTAGTTTTTTAATTATTTTTTTATCTTTTTAAATAATTGCTTTTAAATAATTTTTTCAATTTTTTCAATTCACTTTTCAATTCGTTTTTAATTCACTTTTTAAATTATTTTTTAAAACTGAACTAGCGAGCAGCACTCGACGATAAGTAGTTGTAAAACTTAATTATTATCCGACGCGTTTTGTCTAACTGCCGTAAACTTCTTCAGGGAGTATTACGGCAGTTATCTCTGTAAGAGCGGTCCGGGGCATTTTGCATCGGAAAAAGTTTTGCCTCAAACTTTTCACATTAAACTATCTTCGGTAGTAAGTAAATAAAACCACATTGAGTTTTGGAAATACGTCAAAAAAAGATTTTTGAGAGCTCTCAATAATCAAAGCTGCAAAAGGCCCTGTTTTGACCTCCTGCGACATCGAAAATTTAACGCACGAGATGCAGCAATAAATCGTTTGTATTCCTATGTGGTGTGATATCTAAGGGGTTTGCAAAGTATTTCAATTTTGATATGTGCTTATACAGAGGTTTGCCATAAATTATTAAAATACACCCGTTAGTCAGCTTTCTGAAATTGATCGAAAGTGCTCTTTCATTCTTGGGTGATATTTCTTAAGTCCAGACCGGACCATTAAAAGATCAGGTTGATTTCTTCTAATAAGATGTTTGAAAGCATAGAAATATAAAAACATCTTGCACTTATTCATTTCCTTCGCCGTTGTGACTTTAAACTTTTGGTGATTTGGCTTTGAATTATAATTTGGCGCGATAGCAGAATTATGCAAATTATCTGTTGAGCAAACTCCGTCAATTCTATATCAGTAGCGTCATAAATCTTAGATTAAAACCATTTGCGAAAGGGAAGGTAGTAGGGCAGAGCTTTTAGAACACACTGATTGAAACTCTACACATTTTAAACGGCTAAAATCTGGCAAATGATTCTGTCTCGTGACAAATAAGCTGAACAAAACGTATTGAATATCATAATAGTGACATTTAGCACCAGGTTTTCAGAGGAAACCTCGAACGGCAAACCGGTGGAGGTCACGTTATCAAGCCCTGTGGTCACGTTCGGAGTTCTCAACGCGCGTTTTCAACGCTAAGAGGTAGGTTTTTACGTAAGTGATTTACCTGAATGTTTTTTATCCTGAATTTGTTTTTATGCCACGTACAAATCAGAAAGGTATGTAAACCAATCTTTTTAGAACAAGTTTAGATATATTTTTAGCGAACTAGACCCTGAGAACAGGGTAACTGGGATACCCGGATGGTACTGGTCCTTGGGATCAATTGTAATGATACTACGGGTGTCGGACTAGTATACTGAAATAGTGAGCTCAAGTCTGGCCAAGGGCATACATCTATTTCCAAAAAGGTTGTCATCAGGCGATAGGTGATAGGTCATTCCAAGACAGAAAGGAATCATGGGGATACAACTCAGTAAATAGTTCTTGCTGAGTGTTGTACATTTGTTTTCTTAACTGGATAACAGTTTTTCTGTATTGTATTCTGTTACAAACAGAGCAAATATAGTAAGGACCTTCCCTAATCTTACTCTGAAAAGCTGTGCCATTAGGACTGAATCTTATAATATAGTACTTAACACTTTTTGCTTTTGTTTTCATATTATTGTTTTGAAAAATACAGCTGAAGCAATAATTTGAAATCCACATTAAAAATCCAGTATTATCCTTTGTATTATCTGTGATTGACTTCTGAGGCAATAATTTGCAACCAAGAGATGTACAAAGGCAATATTAATATCTGCATCATATATTTGAAGTGTCCTTGGGAAACTATTGATAGTGGGTGGATTGTTATTGCCATTGAGTTTTTCTTTGTAAAACTTGTTTGCACGGTCAGTGATTCTATCTAGAGTCTGTGAATTCCAATACCCACAATATTTGATAATGGAAAAACAAATGCTATAAAAAGATGTGGCACAACAGCATAACAAGGGAATATGAATGGTTGTGATTTCAGCATCTGCATGATTTGCTTTGAGGGGGACAGCTGACAACTGTTGATCAGAAATATCTGTCATATCATATTGTTTTTCATTAATATGTACACCTTTGAGTTCAAATAAAACATTTGGATTTTGATAAAGACCTTCAAAATAGTTTATCAACTCATTTAAGGTGTTAACTTCTAACAGCACACAAGTTCCTTAAGGATGGCACATACCATATGAATCTCTAACATGAGAATCAAATATCTTAAACTTACCATCACCATTACAGTAAAAACCTACTGTAGTACTAAGGATTGTTAAAAGAAAGAAATTATAATTTTGTCCCAGCAAAGCCTGCATAGCATTAGCAAATGACATACAATAATTGAATTCTTGTACTTCACAAATACCATTTATAGTACCAGTATAGCTTGGACTATATTGAAGCTAATAATTAATATTAAACACTATTATTATTTCAGGTACTTCTGTATACAGTAAATAGGATTGCTTGGATAGACTAGATAGACCAGAATACAATTCATCATCTATGTTCACGATATTAACCAAGTCCATTGAGGATACAATACCATTCCTCTTGTTATATATGAGGGAAAGAAAGTGACATGGCTACACACTGTGTTTGTCAGTGGCAGCTTTGAAGAGGGATGGTTGTAATGTCTACTCGGTTTCTCTTCTAGACAGGCGTGACTCCTTATCTGCCTCACTATTTTCTTAGCCTGGAATGTGTACTACCGTGAGCCAAACTTTACGAGATATGCACAACTCCCAAATTTGTTTTTCAAGGCAGTTGTTTTCCCGAGAGTGGCATGTGCCCATTTGGTTTATCGTGGTGTTATTTACCATAAGTTTGACATGCTTGCCAGAAATTGTACTATCAAATGATTTCAGTGCAAGATAGGCAGCAAGCATTTCTAGATAGTTAATATCATGTACAGCTTCTTCTGGAGTCCAATTTCCTCCAGTTGTGACTGTATCAAAACAGCAACCGCATCCAGGGAAAGATGCATCTGTTACCATCATGATTTGGGGGTTCCCATGGTTGATAAGGTTAAATGCTAATGGTAATGTATCAACCTACCGTTTGAGGTCCGTTTTGGACTCCAGAGATAAAGACATGGCTTTCTCAAAATTCCCGTTGCATGTTACTAGGGCCTGTGTTTTATCCATTTCAAGAACCCTGTAGTGCAGAGATCCACACATAGCCCCTGGGAAACTAGACGTCATTAGCCCTAAGGTCCCTTTACATTCAAATTATAGAAACTTCTGGTTATTACTGCTTATTGGGACTGAATAATGGGCATCTTTCAGATCTATGGATGCCATGTAACATCCAGGTTTCATCATTCTGATGGCAGTCCAGATGTTTCCATTTTAAAATGATGATTAGTGACATGGGTATTAAAGTTCAAAATCATTCGAAAAGAACTATCCTTCTTAGGCCTAGTAAATACTGGGGAGATAAATCCCCCGGCCTCATGATGGCATGGCTGAATAACCCCTTTTTGGAGGAGCTGAGCAATTTCCAAATCAATAGATTCGGACTGAACTTCTGAAAACTTTGGTTTCCCCAACAGTTTTAACTGCTTCGACCATGTACCAAGTTCAATTTTTTGGCCAGTGACAGTCTCTAAAACTTCAGGAGCAGAGGTCAAGTCTTGCCATATGTATGAGAATAAACAGCTATACAACCTGCTGTAAACATTTGTGACTTGCACCGTAGAAAACGCTAAAAAAGTGATGGCAAGATACCTTCAAACTCGCTTACCCGAATGCTGCTCAGCTTTTGCATAGTGTCACTGGTTATTTCCTGTCATTTGTTTAGTCAGTCGACCGCTTTCTCCAGCTATTGAATTGAGCTGGTTTCCTGTAAGTCTGCGATTTGATGCACGGATGTAATTGATGGCACAAAGCTACGACTTTCTGACCTGTTAAATATCATCACGATATAGGGCAAATACAATGCGAGATTTCAAGTTTTCCCTTTTGATGCTTGAAATACTGTTAATGTTGAAAATACACGTGCCACACCCTCCCCAAAGTGCAAAGAAGCGCAAACCAGAGGTTCGATTGGTTTAAGGGAGTGCAACTTTTCTAGACTAGTCGAAGAGAGTAATGAAGGAAAAATGAATGCAGTGAAGGATTACCTATGATAACTAATTGAAAATCACTTGAACATGGTGCATGTACATAAGTTTTTATTTAGGAGTGAGGAACTTTTTTATTTTGTCACGTACACGTTTTTACTTTTTTCCTAGTTTCCCATTAACTCCCAAAAACCCTGAATATGTTCAGTGTGTAATTCCCATTGTTGAGAATGAGGAAAAACAGACGTTTGCGTAAGACTTTGGTACAAAACACTGTACGGCAGAAAAGCAACAAAAAGAAAGTCAATAGAAACGAGTAAAGATAAGGATTCACCATGCAAACTTCGTAGCCTTAACACGGCCATAGGAATCAGGGGAGAGCATGCCTCTTATAAGAGATTGGGGACCGATTGTTAGAAATGGCGGATCGATTTGGGACTAGTTGTGTGAAGATGACGGCTTAATTCTGCCTTTGGAATCACGGGATCATTGAGTTCACTATAGCGCCAGTAATTCTTTTTTTTTCTGTTTCGTAACGTTAGCAAAAAGAACTGTTTCTCTTTTGTTGATCTGGGGATCCACCAGACAAAACAAGCTAACGTTGTAAAATGTATGTAAGCGGAGCCACAATAAATAATCAGTTTTCTTACCCGAAGAGGTGGTAAATTCTCAGAAAGCCTTCTGAGAATTTTGTTTTTTCTTCAACAGTTTCGACAGCTTCCTAGTGTAGACCTCGGAGGTGGCACACCGGGTTCTCTCCTTCCCTCCTCTGTCACAAGACCACCTCCCATGGGTCGCTCCCAGTCCTCGTCCGAGTTGCACTGCAACTGGCATGGAACGGAACCCCATCGGTGATAAGAAAAGACCCATCAGCCCTCTTGCAATAATCGCCGTGAAACGATTTAGCTTTGAGGGCATCGACAAAAGACAAGATTTCTGCGCAAGCAAAAATCCAAGAGCTGGGACAACGCCGGCGGAGGCTGAGGCAGATAAGTCTCTGACGATTGTATCGGAATCTCTACAAGTTGTGATAAGCGAAACCAGAAGCACGGGAAAAACTCCGTCTATTATTTGGAGCGATAACATAGATGGTTTTGAACCGGAGAAGACATTTCTGACATTTAGTGTCGATGAAGATGAACATATAATTCACTTGAAGTCGGTAGATGGAATGAATGAACATATTGAGAAACCTACCATTTTAAATCACGAGAAAGAAGATGCCATGATAAGCAGCCAAAATGGAACTCCGAAGATCGTGCGCCAGGATTGGCTCCTTCGTCAGAACCGAAAAACCAAAGCACTTCCGATCCAAAGTCGAATTTTTTTTGTGAACCGTCAGACTAAAGTGTTCAAAATCTTCTGGGTGCTGAGGTTTCTAGAAAAGTACTCGATGAAAATGACAATTTTGCAAAGTATTGTAATACTACAAACCCCATTAGCGGCTAACGATACAAATCAAGAATTTCTCGCAGAAATTCAGGTCAGACTAAAGAAAAAGTGGAACTGTCAGACTCAGGGACACTTGATTCCCCAGTACATGAGGCAAATCCTACGCGAACACAGAAAGCTTCATACGACCGAAATGCAAAGGACTTTCCGGCTTACATGAGGAAAGTGCAAAGGAAGAAGGAAAAAAAAATGACAAAATAGAAAAAATATTCTTTGTGTAATCAATTCTGACAAACTCGTCAATCATCAAATATTTGTTTAACTAATTAGTGTGATATGAAAGTGTCAAAGAAAAAGGAGGAAACGTGGAGTCTTATCTGAAATATAAGAATGCAAAAAATTAAAGAATTTCCGCTGTCATCCATCATCATTGGGGCTAAGATTGGGGTGGAGACTGAAGCGAGTTTTCCCAATAGGAGTTTTAAAGGAATTACCCGACCCTTCCTTGGACATTTATTACCTGACCCATATTTGACTCATCAGAACAAATGAGTTTCCATGCTATCAGACTTATTTCAGTTTTGGCCTAAATTTTTCACAATTTCACATTCCTTTTCAATTCGTTTGCGCTAAATCTGCGGAGATATTCTAGAATTTTTTTTAATCTCTAACAAAGGCTGTTAATATCCAGGTTTTGTCTTCAGAAGATCCCGCTTTATTAATGATTGCAGGATTTTCGGGCCTGTAACCCCTGGAAGGGGAAGACAATGTAACTCCAAGCCGTCATCATATACCTCAAGGAAACACACTTCAAGCGTCGAACAGCTTGCTATTACAGCTTCTGTTTGCGTACAAACTGAAGGAAGAAAAAAGACATAAACGAAGGGAACGGTCATTATTGGTTATGTCATTAAAAAAATATACCTTATCCCTTTATAACGCTTTGTAATATACTCATGATCCCCCCCACCCATTGGCGGTTAATTGGCAGTCACTTTTCTATACCATATTGGAGACGACTGATCCCCTTTCCCCCCCCTCCCCCCCTTGAAAACCATGTAATCCCACGCTAGATGATAAAAAAAGGCTGGCTCCTTATTCAACAATTAGTTGCCCCCGAGGTAAGGTACAGGCTGCCTAAATGCACCAAACATAGTCTGTTAGAAGAAAAAACATCAAGAGTTCGAATCTTACGACATAAAGCAAGACGCTCTGACCTGTAAATATCATCACGATCTGGGGCAAAAACAAAGTTTAGTCTGTGTTTTTTGTTCTGTATAAGTTGTGTTTTGTAACTGATGGAGATGAAGTTATACAATACTCTTTTGCTTACACTATGCTATAACTGAGGTAAAATTTAAAAAAAATCAAGAAAATAGAAATTTAATCTTGGAGCGGAGATATTTTGGTCTGCAAGGAAAAACCTACCTCGCGAGCAAAGTTGTTCGCGATCACCTACAAAAACAAAAAAAGAAAACGATGTAAAAGTTTTATATAACCTCTTTATTACTGTTACAAATAATCAAAGCAAGTTTTGTTGTGTAAGGACTGAAGGAAATGTTAAATGATTTTAAACGAGATGATACCAGTTTTTTAATTGTATTCATTGAGAAGGGAATCACTTGAAAAGAACGGAACACTTTATTAAACGTAAAGTAAAAACATACAAACTGCTCGAAGAGGGTAGCAAAGGGTTCATGCGTGACACGTGATTAGGCCCGAAATTAATGCGAGAGGCGCGAGTTTTACAGAGGCAAGGTAATGTGAGATTTCAAGATTCCCATTTCGATGCTTCAAATACTTGGAAAAGAGAGTTTTAGATCCACGTTTGGTGTGTTCACTACTATCGTCAAACGGCGGTCAGCAGTTTGTGGTTTGAAGTTAGAAGTCTCGAGACTTTCAGCTTTTTAGCTCGACGTCAGCTTTCGCCTGAAAAAAAAAATCCTCATGTGCGCCGCCATCTTGAATTACACGAAGGATGGGGGTCCTTCGTTCCAAACACAAAATGTGGCTAGAAAAGATTAGTTTTCTAGCGTCCCAAACGGATTGGTTCTAAAGAAAGACTTCACTTCAGATATATTTACATGAGAACTTTTGATCAGGAAGAAAAATAACCGTCGAGGGAGTTCAACTACCTGAAACTGCCCTGCCTAAAGTTCCAACGTAGACGACAAACGGCGAACGTGACCGCTGGAGTCTAGTCTCACGTATTCAGAAACAAACGTAGATCTAAAACTCCCTAATGTTGAAAGTACACATTCCGTGCCCTCCTCAAAGCGCAAAGAAGTACAAAAGGTTCGATTGGTTTAAAGTGGTGCGAGTTTTCTAGGCTAGTTAAAGAGAGTAATGAAGAAAAAAAATTGATGCAATAAAGGATTGTTTTGGACAACCTATTGAAAATCACTCCAACATAATGTGTATAAACTAAGAATTACACTGACTTACGGGCTTTTCCTTTACCAGCTTCCACTGTGGCACAAACCATCCAAGCAGCACCAATCAGAATCATAGCAATCTTCATTGTGGATAAGTGTCTTCTTTTGCACCTCAAAAATTAAGCTTCTTATAGAGTAAACTCTTCTCTCACTCAGATCTGCTGTGAAATTTGCTTGTATATCGTTCAGTATATATTAGACTAAAAAATATAAATATTAAAAAGAAAGTTCATAAACCTTTTATTCCCAAGCAGCAGGATATAAAATCAAAACCAGTCACCGTTCGTTTAATCTTGTTTTTTAAAAAAAAAAAATCTGCGCCGCCCTGTCCAGCTTGTAGCTGTCTGGCTTGGCGATTTCAAAAGAAGTTTCCTTGTTTTATTCTTTTCAGTTGGGGGTAAAAGTCTCATTGGACAATTTTTTAATCAATTTTTTAAATTTGTTTTTGTTTTATAGATAATTTTTAAAATTTTTGTTTTATTAATTTTTAATAACTTTTTTAATTGATTTTTTCAAATTTTTTTTAAAAAAATTTTTACAATTATTTTTTAATCAATTTTTTCAAATTTTGTTTTAATTATTTCTTAGATGTTTTTTTAATTTTTTTTAATTTTAAATTTATTGTTTGTATAATTTTTCAATTTCGTAAATTATTTTTTTAAATAATTTTTTTAAACGATTATTTTGAAATTTTTTAAAATAATTTTTTAAAAAAACATTATAAAATTATTTTTTTAAAACTGAACTAGTGAGCAACACTCTATGATCAATAGTTGTAAAGCTTCTTCATTCTCCGACGCGTTTCGTCTAATTGTCGTAGACTTGTTCAGGGAGTATTACAAGTTAAAACTAAAAGCCTGTATTTATAAGTCATAGCTTGCGGCTACACGCGGAGCAGCCACCATAAAGACTTGGCCGGACATACGAATAGGAACAGGAGTCTCATTCTGTTTAGGCTGGAGCAGGAGAAGCTCGCCAGCTGCTGTGCGATGTCATGGCGCCAAGAGCTGGTAAACCATTATTCCAAGCGGTCGTAGATCATGAGCAGAAGTTCAAGACAGGTTTCGAATGACAGCCTTCGATACCTTTTAAAATCCTGAGTATTTATGCTAATAGATTTTCAGCCAACGCACTTAAACACATACATCAGCCATTTGAAAATCAGAGCAGAGTTTTTGTACAGCGTCGGTAATGCACGCATTGAAACCACACCAGCTTCTCCTGCTCCAGCTTGAACACTCAGATTTTTCAGGAAAGGGGCATTTTTCCCATCAATCTACTTGGGATTCCAAATTTTTAATCTTGGGCTTTTCTACAGCGTCAGCGATGCTGTCATTATACGTATTGAAAGCTTTCACTGGATCTTAGACATTTCCTCTCGCTGATCTGAAGTCCAGTATTTCCCTGCTCCCATCAAGCGCAAACACAGCTGATAGCTTTGAAGAACTAGGCTAGAATTCCGAGCAAAAATCACGTTGTCGCTTCCATATTTAAATAAGAGAAGTACACCATTGAAATACGTGACTGAGTCACTAGTCACGGTGAATATCAGTATGTGCTGTTATAGATTATATGCAATCCCCCTTTTTGGGCGAAGTCCGTCGCGCAAGTCCAAAAAAAAAATCAGGGCTAAAAATAGAAAAAAGGTGTTAGCACGCCACCGAGAGCTCTTGGAGTGAGGCACTAACAAAAATGTTCCAGTTCTTCATTGGTTTTTTGCGACCTGCCCCGCGAACTTCGGCGAAAAGGAGGGAGTGCTCGTTGTCGTAATAGTGATACCACCGGTTACACTAAATAAAATCTTGTAGTTTGGTTCTGAAATGTTCCTACAGGTTTGAAGAGCTTTAGCTCTATTAAGCCAAACATAAAAGAACAGAAACGATTTTTTTTAAAAAGTTTCTCAATAGCACGTTGACCGAATTCTAATTAAGAGTTAAACGAGACTTACCTGTTGGTTGAAGTTTGATTGCAATTCTATGAGTCATTGCTCAGGAGCTAGGAAGTCAGGTGAGATAGAGCGCGGGAACCTGGGCAATCAGTCTTTAAATCCTGTTAGTGGACCAAAGTATAGTAATGGTGGGAGGGTGTGTATTAGGTCCACTTTTGGTAACTGCAGTAGGGTGGGTGTGTCTTCTTAGCTCCTGACATCTAACATCTATGTGGTGAAAGAATTTTATCACCAAAGTTAACAACTTTCTGAATGGGTTTGTCATAAAACTTTCGAAAAGTGCTTTCACTAGACCACCCTGCTGCATCCGTCATGGTATTTATGGGTGTGTTACCTGATTCTGCAGCCGAGGTGGAAGTAACTCGGGTACCATGAGCACCAAAAATTTTTGTGTTAATACCAGCTTTTTTTAAAGACATTCTTTACCCACCGACTTATGGTGTCTCGACTTACAAGTTTAAAAGGTTTACAATAACTCAACCACAAGGCATCATGTCCAGCTCTCACTGATTCTGTTTTCTTAACATACTCCTGAAGGTAGGTTATAACACATAAGCGCTTATCGACTGGGTAAACCCTCAAATCTAACTGTCCCTGCTGCTTCCCAGGTTTGGAGGTTTTCAAGAGTTAAGTTATTTCAAAACGAACAGAGTCATCAGAGCTCCTCATGCTACTAACAGTAAGGGCGTGAACAGTTTGACATCGCTGGCCAGAGAGCAGGGTAACTAACATGACAGTCTTGAGTGTTATGTCCCTGAGGTTAAACTGCTCAGGTGGCGATAAAGTTTGCAAGTAGTCCAGAACAATAGAAACATACCATATGTTTCTGTATCTTGGCAGTGATGGTCTTGTTTCAAAGACACCTTACATGAATCGGATAACCAGGGGGTGATTTCCAAATGAACCACTATCAGGAAGTAAGGTAATAATGGACAGAGCACTCCTGGCTGTGTTAATTGCACTGTATGACAAACCACTTGCAAACTGGTCATGAAAAAACTCTCGTTCAGCGTCTTTATCCTCGTTTCCGCTCGTTCTATGAAAAAATTTTGTGCGCCGTTCGATCACACAACTGACCACTCTAAGGTCAACGCTCGAACTGGTTGCTCAGGTTCCCACGCTCTATCTCACGTGATTTACGAGCGACTTAGATCAACGACGAATTATAATTAGTATGATATTCGTCACATTTTGTTCACATTTTGCCAAAATCAAGCCGTTTAAATGTTTAAAAAATCAATCGGTGTGTTCTAAAAGCTCTGCCCTACTACCTTCTTTTTGAAATGGTTAAAATCTACGATTTATGAAGCTACCAATATAAACGGTCGGAGTTTGCTCAACAGACCAATTTGCATAGTTTTGCAATCACACTAGCAAAATCGCCAAAGTTTGAAGTCACGACGGCGAAGGAAATTAATAAGTGCGAGATGTGCAAGATGTTTTTTACATTACTATGCTTTTGAACATCTTATTAGAAGAAATCAACCGGAGTTTTCAATGATCTGGTCTGGACTTGAGAAATATCACCCAAGAAAGAAAGAGTATTTTTGACCAATTTCAGAAAGCTGTCTAACGGGTGTTTAAAATAGATTATGGCGAACCTCTGAACAAACGCACATCAAAATTGAAAATCTTTCCAAACCCCTTATATATATTACACGATTTAGGAATATAAACAATTTCTTGCTGCATGCGGTGTGTTACGGGGAGTGAACTTGTAAACTTTTGAAATTTTTCGATGTTGCAGGAGGTCAAAAAAGGGCCTTTTGCAGCTTTGATTACTGAGAGCTCTCAGAATTTCCTTAGACGTATTTCCAGAAACCAGTGTAGTTTTATTTACTTGCTACCAAAGATAGTTTGATAGGCAAAGTTTAAGGCAAAACCTTTTTCCGATGCGAAACGCCTTGGACCGCTCTTACAGAGAAAAACCTTAAATTGCTATAATCGTAAATCCACAGATAAATACTGGACTTTGTCATTATGTTATATCTGTCAGTACAACTTCGGTTGTTGGTAACAATAAACGGGAGTTGAAAGTAATGAAATCTTTCAAATATAAATTTTCTTCAGACAGTTACAGAGTGCGCGGCGCGACACTATTTACAAGAATTTTATTTTCTGCGCAAATTTTGTCGAGATTTTCATAGGATTGAGGCAATTTTTGACATACTTTCAAAATGTAACTGCACACAATTCTGGCCGATTTTTGTACGATTGTTCCTTATTCATCCAAGAATTTCTTGTATATACAAACAGAAAGCGAATGCTTACGCAAAAAATTAAATACCCAGCAGCGCACGGCTCAAAATTAGGTCTTAAGACCTTATTACTCCCTCTGAATCTCCAAAACTAAGAACTACGACAAATCAAGAAATATTTAAACATAAACTGACAGTTTTGTTCTGTGAAAGCTCCGGCAGTTAATGTAAGTTTAAGGGTTGTAAAACTTACTAAGTAACTTGTTTTCAAACTTTATTACACCCATTTTGAAACCACTGGTGGTCCCTGTAATCTGATTGGCTCTGATTGATCTTTTTCTCAGCCAATGAGGAGGCTACACTAACAAAAAAACAACCAACCAGATTTCAAGGCTTGTTTAAAGTAACCGATCAAATTGCAGGAAAATGAAAGACAAAGAGTATCATCTGGCAAATTTTGCAACTTTTGTTTCCAAAACTCTTACTTTTCCCCCCCCAAACTGGATGAATTTAATTTCGAGCCAGCTCAGTACTGCATCAATAAAATATTTGAACTGACCAAGTCCTGTATTTGGGTGATTTCAGAATGGATTTAGTAAAGTGGTAATTGAACCTCGTGTCGTGCAATTTTGGTCTGAAATCATACTTGTAATTTCAAATCACGCGTATGATTTCAGCCCAAATTGCACTCCGCTCAGTTCAAGTACCATTATTAACTCGTTTTGTGTGAGAGTAACAAAAACTCAAATTTACTTCGAAGTGTTCAGTTACACGTACTTCACTCAACTTTTCTTCGTTTATTACTGTAGTGGTTAACAATTGCCTACATAGCCTTGCTACGAAATGCAACGTTGATGACAACTATTACAAAATAAAGAGAAGACTTACCTAATCATGGTGTTGTTGAGGCAAAACGAAATTATATTGACAAAATCAAGTTAATGGTACTCGCAATTGACGCAAAATTTACGGTAACAGTTAGCTTTGTCGAGCATAACTGTTGGCTACCGGTGAAGCTTTTTACGATGACGGGAGGTCATCTAGGTAAAGGCAACATTGGTGATTGCATTGGTAGGAGTAACCGCGAAAAAATACTTATCCCCGTTCCCAAGGTCCTCTCTCTTCCTTGTAGAACCAGAAACCACGTGACGGGCACTTTGCTCTCGTGCACAAATAAATAAATACCACAGGCCCTGAATAAGTGTGGGGAAAGAAAAATCTCAGCAAGTGTCTTTAGGTAGTCAAGAATGGTTCAGAGTTGTAGAGAGGTAAAGTCAGCTCTTCCTGCTTTAAATCAGAAGTACTTTATTTTAGCAAATTGACGCAAGGGTTCACTTGTCAGGCTAACTGAAGTAAACTCTACTCGAATCAACGCGAATCAGAGAGAGCGAGGGAAATTATCGTGAAAGATGTGCTAAAATGTCAAAGCAGGGAAATCAACTCGTATTCAAGTAAACAAAGGCAGAATAAGGGCCACATTCTCTTCAACACTGAATCTGAAAGTCTGCAAAACATACAAGAATCATGCCTGAATATTGAATCAGGAAAGCATGGAAAACTGCGGTTTGAACGGTCTTTACCACGTACCGCTGGGTCTGTACTTTCGTAAAATAATGCTCTTTCGTTAATGATCCCTCGAAATACGGGGGATTAATGTTTAGCTGTCTTCATCTGTACACTTCAAGTGGAAAGAATAACATGTCCTTTACCACCAAGGGGAAAATATCGCTTTTACCGCACTTTTATCTCGAAGAAAATGAGGTATTTCTGTCAACAGCCGCGCTTAAACCATGAAGTAATACTTTCCTGAACGAAAAGGGAAACGCAAAAACAAACATCTGTTTTGATAACTTCCAACCGAAATAAATCCGTCGTAGGAATAACATTATTTGAACCCCAAAAAGCTATATCGGTGCTAATAAAAAAAAGAAACCTTCCCAGCACATCTCTTTCCGTGACAATAACTTTACAAACCATCAATGAGCAAAGAAAGGAAATCCTCTGGCTGTACTATGTCACCAGGAATAAACTCAGTATTCTCTCTGTATTTTTAGTTTTTTTGATAAAAACTCTTTCTCTCCCAAGGTTT